TGTGAACCTTCGAGCTCATTCCCAGGATTTTCAACTATAAATTCACACTGCATCTATTTCCTATGTTTGCAGCTGAACCGGGTCAAAGAATTGACTTAACAAATTTTACACAGTGAACTTCAGCCTGGAACTAGCTACCGACATGACCGATGCCATTGGACTGAGCACAGAGCCCGTGGACTGAGTCATTGAGCACTACCATAGTATAGTATGGGGTCCAATGGAATACGGATGTCAGGAAGCAACACTCCAGTGACCGGGAACCTGAGAACTGATTCAATCTGAGAATTTGACAAAAAAATCATGTCACTCGTTTCGAGGGAATGTAGACTACGACCACCTACCTGTTGTAAAAACGAATAAAAAATCCCAACAAAAGTAATCATGATATGCATGTGTGACAACCGATTATTTTCATAAAAATATTATACATGTACAACCGAATGATGATCAGATGGTATACATGTAATACAACTCAGTTGAACCAAGGGTCACTCTAAGTTACGAATTATATCAAACACGATCTGTTCCTCCGGGCAAAACTGACTCGTAATATATGTAGGCCTGAAAAAATAAAGTTCAATAAAAATAGGTACATAAGAGATTGGCTGCATCTGATCTAGACCGTGAGTTAAATCATTTGTTCAAGCCAATTGTGGAATATTTCTAAGGTATTTGATGCTCGAACCTTCATCCACAGGGAGGACACACTGTCTCATAAGTTAATGATATATTATGACATCAATGTGAGCCCCCTACGAGTGAAGATTATGCTCTTAATCCTTGGACGACCAATGTTCTCATGGCTGCATTTGTCGTTCGAGATCCTTTGCAGCTTCATGTTCAGGTCATCCCATCCAGCTCGCGCTTGTTGGAATGGAGACCCGATTCGGTCCATTGGTCTCACTTCTCTCATACTGACTCGTATCATATTTTCAATTTTATACTGGAACTCATTGTTTTATACATAAGCTTGGATCACGCTCTACGCTGACATATCATTTACAGACCTTCGAATTGATATAGTTCCCAGTGTAAGTGTCCCATCTCATGGAATGTGCATGTAAGCTTAAATATGCCTAGAATTAAAGATAGTTAATAATTATAGAAATAGTTCTATGTATAAATACAATCTAATATAACTTCTGCCGCCATATTATGTAATGACTAAAAGTGGCAAATTTGGGAAAATTATTATATGCTTTCACTTAGCCTTCGATTTTGCACATCGTTCTCACGGACTCTTGGCTCTTTAACATTTGAAAATCAGTAAAATTCATGAATTGAAAACGGTGTATACAAAGCGGAGTGTGTAAATGTATAGAGCATGCCTCAAATAGACGGGTCATAAAAACTTTTTTCCTGTTATTTATCTATTTTTATTCTATTACTCATCTTAACTGCGCTATTAAATAGCTATCATGCTCGTTATTTTTATTTTGGAGATGTACCTGTACATTAGACGGAGATTTCAGATGTTACATGTCGTCAGCAAAACATGCGCCCAGTTATTTTTGACTAAAGGTGAAGACAACCTGTCGATTATTAACACCTGTTGTTCATTAGATGTACCACTCATTCCTTCGCTGATACCTGTTTGCCGATACCCTGTCAGACATACCTCGTCATTAGCTTGTTCCATCCTTACACATAGGTCATCGTTCAGTGGGTCGCGTGCACTGGTGCGTGTATTAGCGTCTTTGATATAACAGAGTTCAACCGGGATTGCGATCCAATTCCATTTCTCGAACATCAGATGACTGTAGCATCACACAGAGTGGGTGTATGAATCACATCCTCATAAAAATGCTGGTTTATTTTAGGTCAACATTATCCCTTAACATAAAAAATAGATAAGAATAAATGCGCATTCCAATACGTTGTGAATACAACCATACATTATGATATGGCACGCATGTCTCCGACTTTACCTTCGAACTTTATCGACCAAAACGAAAAGGCCGAAAAGGGAACAATCAATTTTTGTCAAACATTTTCAAATAAATCGAGTAAATAAACCAATGCAAAGTAGATGAAATGATAGACACTCTGTTTGTTAAGGTTTAAGACAGTGGTTTTTAGATTTACAAAATCTTGAACTCCCGAAGATTAGAACTTTAATAAATCTGTAAATTGTCAGATCCAAATTGAACGTTCTAAATTCAACCGACCTTAAACAAGATTTATGAAAAAATTAAATTGAAAAGGTTGAACATTTTTACGATTGTAGGAAAATTATTCATATCCAAGCAAAACGACCTCTCATTCTCTCTTCTCTATTCACTATTCATTTAAAAAACAGAAAAATCAGATGGAGTTTTTTCATCATTTATGTTTGTGATTTTGATGAATGTAAATACGAACGAAACAAAATGTAAAATAATCCATGCATTAAAGTATCAATTTAAATTTATTTGAGATGTAAATTTCATTTTTGAATTTGTTAATCAAATATGACCTACCTGCGAATCATGACTTCATTTTAATTTGAGGTATTTCTATTTATTCTTCCATCGGTTGATCTGCATGTACTGCCACCCTGACGATTATGTCGATGTCTCCAGTAGTAAAATGCAAAACCACGTATGCATCTTCAAGTAGGCCTATACAGACACTAACTTTCCCATCAACGCGCATGCATAAATCAAATTAAATTACTAAATTCATGTGAGAGCATTTCTTTTCAGGACATCTTATATGTTAAACCACAGTCCTCCCGGGCTTTATAAAATTGGCATAGGTGTTGTATTTACAATTATATTCCTACAAAATTGACTACTAATGCATTCATCATTAAGTTATGCATATATCGGGGCTGATTTTTTGTTATTAAATGCATGACTAGGTATAGCCCAAGGCCAATAGCACGACACCTGGCACCGTGACCCGAATACCTCATCAATGTTCTTTAACCTATTAAAGAGGCATGCGCTGATTCCTGGTAGTGAAATACATCGTGCACGGTTATATAACTTGGCGCCATGATCATTAGTCTTTATATTTTATGATTAACCTCTTGAATACCCAGAATGACGAATGTTTCTGTCATAAATAAAATTTAAAAAATAGGGAAGTTAAGCTACACGTTCTTTAAGAGTGTACGTGAACATAACATTATTAGCCCAAGTGATTACTGCTCTTCTCTCAATTATATTTTTCAGGTATCAAAGAGCATGCGCAACTACTACCCTCATGATTTCTGTTTTCCATTTCCACACTTTCATTCAAAGACATTCACAGTTGCTCATTCAGAGAATCTTGTTCTAACATGTGCCACTGTACATGTTAAACAAGTGAGGGCTCCGATTGGCATTTCTTTTTATGAGTATTACTTTAAGGCCCCATATAAAGTTTAAACCACTTTTGCTATTCTTACCCAATGGTATCAAAATATGGTACAAGCATGAAACTTTTTATTTAATTTCAAAAGGTGGTTTTTGAAGGACTTTGAAATAAACTAATCAGAAAAAAATGAGTATTCTTCTTTTCAATCTAGTAAGACAATTAGCTTTGGTTTGACATAGAAAATGTATTTTAATTAAAAAAGAAAAATTTTGCCACCCGAGTGATGTCACGATGAGGTCACTTATAATACAATTTCTTGATGGTCTCAATCTGAACTATTAAGCGACACATTCGATATGACATCTTATAATTGAAATAGTGTGTCTTTTATCAAATCTTTGCAATGGTGTTAAAAATAATGAGTTTTACACAGTACAGCAGTACAGTGGAATATTTGGCGATTAAAAATGTCAATTTTTATGTAAGAAATGGCGGGAAATTTGAATATCTGAGAATTTTTTCAAAATTCTTTTTCAAAAAATCTTTAAAACATATTTTCATGAAAAAGAGTAAATGAATGATACAGAAAGATATTTTCAATCTTTCCATATATGTCTTTAAGGTTCAATATGATATTTTTTATATGTCTCTGCACTGACAGGCAATCGCAGTCAAGGTCACATGTTCAGATAGGGTGCTATACCGAGACTTTATTGTCAACTGATTATGACACTGCGGGTACATGTTAACAATGAAATCGTGATTAATTGGAGAAGGTGTCTGAGGTGGAAAAGTATCAACTATTTCATTGTCATAGAACGTTCATATAACTTAAATATGTAAAGGTGACCTAAGGTCAAATATGTCAAGTTCACTTTAGTCACACTGTAATCTTCATTTACATGTAGGTTAATATTATACCAATGACATCTCCGAAGATCATAGTAATAAGTCACAAACTGTGTTTGAATCAACATGAGGATGTAGATTGTTAACAAATACATTTTATTTGTATAACTATAAAAACAACAACTCCACGGACCAGCAAATCCCACCGAACAAAACATATTTTGATCATTAGTGGCCATCTTGAAAATTCCTTCTTGAGCAGAGATTGTTGGTTCCTAGGCATCTACATATAAAATGTAAACCATATGAATAAATAAGCATTTGAGTTATCAAAGATTACATTCCTTTTTTACGAAAGATGGCAGCCATTTTGAAATTCAATCGCCATTTGGAAAATCTTTCTCAAACAGAGCCAATGTGTCCAAAGGCATCAGGATATAAAATTTGAACAAAATCCATTCACTGCTATTTCTGTATTTGAGTTATCAAAGATTACATTTTTTACGAAAAATGGCGGCCATTTTAAAATACAGTTGCCATCTTGAAAATTCTTTGTCAAGCAGAGGTACAGTGTCACTAGGCATCATCATATAAATTAAAGATCCAAATCTGTTCACTGGTATTTGAGTTATCAAAGATTACGTTTTTTACGAAAAATGGCCGCCATTTTGATATTTAGCAGCCATTTTGAAAATCTCTTCTTCAGCGTAGCTCCTTTGTCCCTAGGTATCAGCATATAAAATTTGAACCAAATCCATCATCTAGTATTTGAGTTATCAAAGTTTATATTTTTCGAAAAATGGAGGCCATTTTGTATTAAGCGGCCATATTGAAATTCCTTCAGCATAATCATCATTGGTATGCCCCCTCAACAAAACCTTCAATAATTGGTCTTCATTTTATTTTATCATATTTGTTCTGTATAGGAAATTACATATAAACGTATTTCTCTTTGAAATCATAATGTCATCATATGACAATCATGACCATTGACCATACGATCTGTAACACTGTCAGGAATTTATTTATCATTGCTCGAGCTATTTAGTTATATTTCACATTTCAAAGTAATTATAAATCCTCTCCTATGGTCTTATAATCTGGTCAAAATTTACCATCTTATTCTTATTTGCTTGGCTTCTCTTGGAGCCTCTCTCCCCCTCTATGGAACGCAAATGTCCGAATGGCTTAAATTCACATGGTAACAGTAACTCCCTACAAGTTACAACTTGTTTGTCTCACATATTATTTCAACCATCAGGAACGTCACCCAGTTGTCGCCATGCTGATTCATCCCATTGTGACTCATCTTGTTCCTGATCAGTCTCGGCTATAGGGTTGTCCTCAAGTTCATTTATCTGAAGTCATACCGTTGAATAATTACAAGTGTATTTCATTTCATTCAATCATGCTTCTTAAAAGAGAGCTTCTTTTTAACTAGACTCTGTGCGCAGGGTAACTATTAATAATTGAGTCTATAAATCAACATTGTCACAACAATACTTTTGTTGTGACCACCTCTCAACTCAAGATGAACATGTTTTGTTGATGTGCTTGGATGTAGCTGACCACAAAATTGTCAGTTTGAACATCACTTCAAACACAGACCAAAAGCAAGCTTTTAATACAGTACAGGCTTAAAATTTCAGGGAGGGCTTTTGTTAAAGCCTACATGAACTCTATTGACCTAATTTCGTAGTTTAGTGAATGCATGTAGTTATTATGTCGACCCACCTTGAGGAGTTCCTCTTTCTCCACTTCATTTTGCTGCATCAGCACATCCTGTTTGGTTGTGTCAATCTCAACCAAGACTCTGCCATCTCCAAACACAATTAGCACAATCTTGCTAAATGCATTCTCCATTGCTCGTTGGAAAGCAATTTTCTTCACCTTGCAGAGTGCCACAAGTTTAGAGGATAATTCTGAAATAAGTATGTAAATGTAATGTATATATACGATATTATGTACAATGTAAAATCAAGACATATTGATACATGATACATAGTATCCTCAAAACTAAGGATATGTAAAAATCAAAATAATTGGTTTTTATTCATAAAATATTAATACACATGTACTGTAAAACCTGGAATGTGAAACACCTCTGTTAGTTGAACACCTAAAAGTGAAACAGTTTTTAAAATTTTGTTACCAATTAACTTTAGGCTAAGTCTATAGTTAAATATGAAAAGAACCTCTGCAAATTGAACACCTCGCAAGTGGAGAACTATTTTGAGTTCACAATAAAATTGCACTTCCACAGACAGGTTTTACTTAACACTACTAAACATGTACATGTACATTGACTAAGCTGCTTCATATCAAAACTGTAAACAGTTACAAATATTTACCAGTCTTTGTATATTTTTCTGTCCACATTCCTATACCCTCACTATGCACTTCCTGATTCCTGATGTCTATTTTTGTAATACAGATGTAGCTGACACTTTCGATGGAAGCATCTTCTTTGAGACTTTCTGCAGAGCCCTCAGTGTCACAGTCATCATTCTTGTATTCTTTCATCTATTTACAAAATAAGCCATGCAAATAATTTTGATACCATGAAAAGATCTAGACCTTTAAAAAGGAATACATATTATGTCATTGTCCATGTGTTCAAACATTACATAGATGTGTTAAGAATACCTCTTGGTGTAGTATTTGTGGATTCTGGGATTCTGGGACATTATGGGTAAGTTAAAATGATTTTCTTCATTATTTGCTGGATCAGTTACAATATAAAATAAATAATATGACAAATGTCCCCACCTGATTGAAACACCAAAAGTGTAACAATATGTCACAAACACACTAATTCTTATATCAAATTCTGGTCATAAAAAGTGTCTGTAACAACATGTCACATCTTCACAGTTGTTACATAATAAAATAACTCACAGAAATTATCTCAGCTGACCATCCATTAAATCCTAGATAATGGTTGGCAAGTTCATGACATTTTGTTATGTATAGTCCAGTTGTCTCATCAGTCTTCTTGCGATTGCTAGCAAAGTTCACCTTAATAGAGAATGTACACATACAGTACAGTATTTATCATTACTAACTTAAAATATGTCATGAACTCTGTATATTGCTACATATTTATGTCAACTGTGAAAACATTTTGATTAATCAAGTTAGAAAGCTTTAGTCTTATTGTACATACATGTATGATCATACAATTTAGCCTCATTATTTTACATAGAAAATACCTGAGAGACTCAGAAAGCATTACAACAGGGTTCACTTGGTAGACATGAGGGGGCATCAGTGTACTGTACCTTCATAAGAGTATCTCTCATCATTAGTTTTCCATTCAACTGTTTCTTGGCCTGGGTTGCACACTTCCCCGAGTAAAAGTTAATGAACGCATAGAACTGCTTAGCATCCCCATCGCCAGTTAGTTCAGATGTCAACACATGGACATTGTTAAGTAAACCAAATTTGGAGAATACTGTTGTTAAGGAATCCTATAATTCAAAGCAAAAATTAATATATGTAACTCCCAATACTTCTCACAATGAAGCATTACAGCTAAAGGCTTGTAACTTACATGTCAGTAAGCTTACTTACCAGTAAGAATAAGATTGTTGCTTAACTACATTTAAGTCTATATCAGATCTACATTTACTGTACATTAATAATTAAGAAGAGGCTAATAAGACCAATCAATCTGATCTCCAGCAAATATATAACAATGAATAGATTTCACACAAATATACATATGTATTTTCTTTCAGTGAAGTTCAAGGCCCCGGAGGTTCACTGTATTTTGACGGGACATGACTTGACTTGACAGTTCACTGTATATAAAACTTAAAGGAACTTGACTTGACATGGGGTACCTTTTTTGACATTTGGTATGGCAATGGTCCCAAATTTATGGATCTGGTATGAGAATGCCCCCGAAATTATGACTTTTAAGATATGGCAATGGTTGGATTTTCAACTTTTTGGTATGAAAATGGTCTTGAAAAATATGTGACCTCACACTTGTATTATGTATTGGTCTAGTAGTTACACATATCTTTAATTCAAGGTTGTTTTGAATCCTTTTTCTCAAAGATCTAACTCCTTCTAGGGCCTTCTTCAGTTTGTTTGTTGCTATACTGTATTTGGACATTTGGTATGGCATTGGTCTTGCATGTACATGTATATTTGGACATTTGGTATGGGTTTGGGGGCTATTTTGGTTGGTATGGGAACACATTGAAATTTGACAGATTAGTATGGGAACATATTGATATTTGAGGGTTCAGCCTAGGACCCCCGCCTAATTTTGAATACAGCAAACCCCCGGGACCTAAGCCTAGTTGCCTACTGTGTATTTCACAGCCTGACTGCTTCCGCAGCTAGAATTAAAAGTTGTATCAAGTCCTTTTTGGTTCTTTGAGGTTCTTTAGGACTCCTCACATGCAGGCCTCACACACAGTTCATTATTACCAGGCGCGTATCGTCATGTACGCAAAATACGCCCAGGCGTACTGTTTGAATTTGAAAAAATATTTTGAAAAAAACCATGAAATTCAGTATTTTACTGTTATTTTCTTTGATGATGCGTAAACCTTTGTTGTACAAGTGTATTAACAATAAATTCTCGATTCCCTCATTGTCATTCACTGTTGTCGTGATTCAAAGATTCAAATTTTTTCGTGATTCACCAAAGAGTTGCGTCATTCTTGTACGCTTCTTCAAGGCCGTATGGGGTATGATGGAGAATCCCGGCAGAGTACACGCTCAAAATCATACGCCAAAAATCGCATTCATCTTCACACATTATTCATCCACATACGGGGGCGCACCCTTGCAAAATGACCACGATACGCGCCTGATTACATATATAACGTGCTGAACATAGGCCAAGGGAAAAGTTGTATTGAGCTTACTACTACTTTTCCCTTAGTCATATAAATCTGACCCTCGTATGATGTTATTTGTTGTTATTTTTTCTGATTTGGATATTTATTTTTTCTTATTTTCTTGCATACTAGGGTCATACACACTCCGCGCATCTAAATTGCGGGAAATGCTTTCCTGGCCTGTCTACCCAACCAAATTCACACAAATGATAAATAAATTTCTTTGCTTCAACTATAAAGTATTTAATCTTACCTTAGACACGTAAAACGCTTGGTAATTGAAGAAATATAAGCATGCCGCTTGAATTTTAAAATTTTTTCATTTTGCCATGCCAAGGTCACTTCCGGGTTCATCTGAGTCTAGATGTAAAACTATATCAAACGAAATCATAAGTACTTGTTACACAAAGATTCAGTTGAAAGGGAAGCAGTGTCGTTAAGAAGGGAAGTTATTTAGAAAAGTTATTGTTTCAAAATGAGAAAAGTAATAAGTATGAGAGAACGGCTTTGGAATCGATCTCTGTGTAATAAATAATTATGATTCCGTTTCGTTGCATGTTTTACATTTAGACTACCGGAAACAACATTCAGCATCATGGCGGGCGATTATGAAAACATAATTCAATTGATTATATTTCGTCAATCATCAAGCGTTTTACATGTCTAAGGTAAGATTTAACACTTTGATGTTGGAGCTAAATAATTACTCGATAATTTGTGTGACTTTGGTTAGTATGGTAACTATGGTTACCAAGACAGGCCAGAAAAGCGTTTACCGCAATTTGTCAGCAATAATATCTACGACCGTATATGCTTAGAAAATGATAAAAAATAAATATCTAAATAGGAACAAGGAATATCGAAGAACAGCATACAACGATCGGATTTATATGACTACTTTTCCCTTAGCCTATGGTGCTGTGTGGTGATGACATGACAGAGACCACATAGAACTACAGTATTTACATATGTTCCTATCATTTTTAGAGTATATTTAGTATGAAAAGTGTGTAAATATCTCTTTGACATAGACAAACAAGTGAAACTGAAAGTGAAAAATTCAAAAAAATATATCACTCACTTGAGCATCAGGTTCATCAGCAAAGCCAGATAAATTGGTCACATAAAGTGTCTTTTGGTTATCCCTTGGTCTATAGAAATCTATAATTTCAAAGTTCTGCATAGTATTAAACCCTATTTCGTAAGATATCAACAAAAAACTGAGAAATGTGTGAATATTGAAGTCTACGAAATTTCCCGGCAAAATTCACTTCCGGGGAAATCCCATCATGACACGCCACAAAGCCGGAAATGCCAGGACTCATTCAAACAGTGGTTGTTGCTGTTGCAGCAATTTTCGTCGTTTTCTATAGCGGCAACGCACCTGTCGTACTGAGGTAAATATCATGCAGATACAATTCTAATTTTTTACCAGATATAGTCGATACTTTTTTAAACTGATCGCCTTTTATTCACAAAAGTGCAACAAATCCCAGGCTTTTATTCGATTTTGATTTGCATGATGATTCAGCAGTTGACTGTAGAGTCTACATGTGTATAGAAATTAGAATATATATTTCATTTTCTCTCATTCAGCAAATTCAATACCATAACTAGACTTTAGCATTGATTAACCACAGGTTCTTCACACAGGTGCTCCCTGGGTAATAAGAGTCAGGCTTCCCTCCAAAAGTAAGTATATTTGATTTCGGGACAGCATCTTTTCCAATCAATCGAGGTTGGGCCATGCAGCCGAAGGTAAGCCATACAACCGAAGGTAAGCCATACAACCAAATTTTGCCGATTCAATCTGACGGAGAATGCCGAGCCTCTATTTTTGACCAATTAGAGGTGTCCTCTTCAAATTCGTGGTACCCTCAGCCAACTTCGTTTGCAAAGAAAAGCTTCGGCAATCTTCGGCAATCTCCGGTTTTTCTTGAGGTATCTTCGGTTGATTGCCAAAAGTCGACACCCATTTGATTTCTTTACTTACTATAAGAGGGAAGCCTGACACTCTTATTACCCAGGGAGCACCTGTGGTTCTTCAGTAGAATATCAGAGACCCCCACTGATCAGCACGCAGGAGTGTCACCCAAATCATCTCAGTCCCATATCCAATATCCATCATCTCAGTACAGTACCCCCTGGGGCTAATATATGTTAGTCTCCGGCACCCCTTCATCTTAGATTTATTTAAGTGCATGCTTTATGGTAAATCCTAAGAGAGTCTGAAATATGAATCACTTTCTTGCAAATGATAAACCTATCTCATGGTTTTATAATGAAACATCTGAGTAAAGAAATTGTTAGGTGTTCTTAGCATTAAGTAAGAAAAATAACTTGATCAATTTGAACTCTTTCACCCTTTGTTGTATAATCCAAAGATCTCAAACTTCATAATATGAGATTATAACTTTTGTCTTTCAGGAAGCTAACAGAATTTGTTCATGGAAAGCCGGGATGTGCCCCAGCCCCTGATCTTGGCAATGTCACAATACATTACTTTGATATAAGGTACAGTATGCAGTGATATACCCAAGTAAAAGTAATTTAGTTGACCTTCAGTTATGTATACCAGAGGCATAGCTAGCCCATTTTTCCAGAGTACACCTGTCAGATTTCCTGTTTCTATATCAAATTGAAAATCTAATATCGGGGGATTATTTCCACTTTTATTTTTCATTCATATTTACAGAATAGAATGTTGAATTTAAAGTCAAAAAGTAGTTACAGTAAAATGTTCACTTAATCCTCATACCTGCCTACAGCATCGATAGTTTTACTGTGTTTTTAGTTAGCTTGCAAGATGATTCTGACCTTTTTTATTTTTGTGGACTTTATTTTTCATTATTTCTGGGGAATTTTCTTTAAGAGTAGAGAGTACAGATGTGCTTACTTGACACAGAGACATATAACATATTTTATATGTCTCTGCTTGACATAGCTATGCCACTGTTTCAAATTGTGTAGTGTCACACCTCAGAGGCATAGAAAAATGTGTTTATCTTTGTATAAAAGTGTTTTCTTTGGATAAATTTGTTTCATTATTAAGAAAATTAAGAAAAGTGGGTGTTTGTTTATCGTTATTTCCTTCTCGAAGAATAGCTTTTTTTAAAATAATTATACAAGCAGTTATTTACAAACAATTATTTACAAAACAAATACAATGTATATTTTGACTATGTTTTACCGCATGCATACTTTGCCATCAAGATGATTATTTGTTCACATACATTTTCATTTAACTGAATGTCAGTATTTGAACCTAGGAGAGTTTCAACTTAAACTTCTTCATCGCCATTTAATAATTGACAAGATGAGCTCACGTCTAATGCATTTGTAATATTATCAAAAAGACGATCTCGTTCCATCATTAGTCCTGAACATTCCAAAGGGCATGTTTTGTGACATCTATGTATTCACCCTGGCATAATGTACATATAACAGTGACTGGGTGATCTTCAATTAGTGCAAGTTGAAGAAGACTTGCCAAAGGCCACAATAAAGCTGGGTATTGTTTCCCTAGCACATAATGTATACTTGGTGCCAGAATTTTTTTTTTGATTTCCAGTTGTACTTAACCTAAACACGTACTTAAAGAGAGAATCAGATATAGCGAGCAGGCTAAACAAAAAATTGTTTCAATTTTAGAATATTTTTGGCTCATGTCATTCCTTGTCATGTCTATTTTCTAAAAATCACAAATGTGCATACTTTATTCCAGGAAAACTAAAGATTTTCACAATAATGTTTTATTTTTTTATAAGAATGGTTACCATTCTTATAATTTAGGAGAATTTAAACATTTTTCACTCATTTTTTCACTTTGAATCATTAATAACTTCACCAATTCATAACATATTGTGAATCTTTTGGAAGATATTGTATTTGATATTGTGAGGAATAGATTGGTAGGTCAATTATATATGTTGCTTGTAATTTTATCACCCCCTATAGATCAGATTCTGCCTTTAAAAATATCACTATGTAGAATTTATATCATTCATATAAATAAATAGTGTATTCATGTTAGACAATTATAAAATTAAGCTTCAAAACCTAAAGATGAACAGCCATCAAATCATTCCTCATATCGCCTTAAAAACATGAACATGTACCTCTGCTGGTACCTAATCTTGAATAGTCATACTTGTAGTCATGTACATGTAAAAAATGAAAATTCATATTGCAGAGCAGGGTTAATACATTTGTAGTCTATCTTTTCCACTATGCTCGATCCACTCTTTCTTTATGGAAATCAATATTTTGATATTCTACACAATATGGCCAGACAAAGATGAAACATCTGGATGGTATTGATTATTAGAAGTAAATATCTACTTAATGTGGAGATGTGAGTGTTTTCAATGAAAAATCTATCTGAGATTTACTACATGTATATGCTCACAACTACTACATTTGTATGTCCTTTCCTTTTACCATTCCAAATGTTGTTCTAGGGGCAGAGGTGAGGCAATACGACTGATGCTGGAGCAGGCAGAAATCCCATACACTGAAGTAAGCTTTAATGGAGACACATGGCCAGCACAAAAACAGAAAGGCATGGCCTCTGGACTTTACACATTTGGACAAGGTATTTTCCAGTTGTTTAAGGCAGTTTGAGTTTGAGCTATCAAGGCTCTGAAGGAATCATAAACCCAAAAATATTATCTATTGGTAATGCATAAACAACAGCCTATTGGTTCCTCTTATTGTCATACATGTTTAGGGTTACCGTTTGTGCATAGTTTCATAATAAAATGTATCAGGGCTGCCATTTTGAACTTAAGTTAATTCTAAAAGTTGTATTTGATCAAAGTCAGTTCAAACATAAGATCTATCGAAAGTTTCAGTTGTGTGTTCTTTTGTTTGTTGCATCATTTCCAGTAAGTTTTAAGCCTCTCAAACCAATGGGTTTATGGTGCATTATGCTGCACCCCTATCAGTTTTCAGTTGAGATGATGAATTTTGCAAGTGAAGGAAAATGCCAAAGTTTGAATCAACACTTATCATTTTAATATTTTCACAAATTGCCTTTGTTCTTCAGTGCCTGCTATAGAGACTGCCTCAGGGTCTCGTTTGGTACAAAGTATTCCGATCGTGAGATATATAGGACGTGCCACTGGCATATCATGTGACTGTGATGAAATGGCTCAATGTGAGGTCATTGCCCATGGAGCTGGTAAGTTTACTTTTAGTGAATACTTGATCAAATTGTTGTCATAAAGCACGTTTAAATTTAAATTTATTTATAGATGGCATACTATTGTAATGATGATACTAAAATATACATGACACTGTACACAGTATTTCACATCCTATGAATATATGTAAAAGATATTAAAATTTAAATAAAATGTGCCAGTAACATTTTTCAACTCAAGTTACAATATCAAACATGTTAGATATTGGCACTTTTGTACAACTGCATATACGGACATTTAATCAATCTCTAGCCCATGGTCACTATAATACTTTGTTAACTTTTGAAATGTGTTTTCATAGAGGATGTGAGAGCTAAATATGGTAAGATGGTGTACAACCCAGACTTCACTCTGGCTGACAGAGAAGAATACCTGACAGTTACACTCCCACTGTGGCTGGGATACTTTGAGAAACTGGCTCCTACATCCCAACAGGTTTGATTTTATATACTGTGTATGTAATTCAGTAAACTGAGGCTAATGGTGCCTATTGTCCATGTAGTGTAACAAGTCATATACAGATATGAAAGAAAGTAAGTGGAATGTCGAATATAGGCACATACGAGAATGAAATTGAATTGTTGCATAATAGTGAGCAGAATGCCTTCTTTACTATAATGTTTTATGGTTTATTTCAGGGGAAAGATATTTTCTTTGCCAGCAGTAGACTGACTTGGGTGGACTTCCTAGTGTTTGATCTTCTTGATGTAAATGTAGAGTTTGGAAAGTTCAACGTGGGAGCCAATGTAGCACCTGTTGATCCTTTAAAGGACTTCCCAAAGCTTGCTAGTTTTTATCAAAACTTTAAAAAGCTTCCAAAGATCAACTCATACTTGCAAGGTTCCAGAAGACGCCCATTTAAATTATCATACATGCCCAAATAGTGAGTTTCTGTTTCATGAATTTAATAAAATGAATTGAACATTCCATGTTTAGTGCCTTGCAAAGTGACAATCACTTATTTATGTTATTAAATGTCTATGGACAGACCGAGCACTCTTTTTTTTGTTGTGATTTCGTTCCTGACTGTGATTAAAAACCAAGATTATGGGAAGGGTAATATTTTTTGCAAAATGTGAATATTTTATAATAAATGTGCTTTGTCCTTTCTAGTCTCATATAATAAACACGTATGTATTATTTTGTTTGAAATACAATAAACTTGTATGAGGTACAATAAGCTTATATGAAATACAACATGCATGCATGCATGAAGTACAATATGGTTATAAAAAATACAATTTGCTTGGATGGAGTTCAGCACGCTTGCATGGAACTTTCGAAATACAATTTTCTTGTCTAAAGTACAATATGAAATACAAAATGTTTAAATGAAGTACAATATGGTTGTATGAAATGCAATATGTTTGTATGAAATTCAATATGGTAATTTGAAATACAATATGCTTGTATGAAATACAATATACTTATGTGAAATATACAACAATTCTGATTGAAATGAATAATGAAAAGTAATCTAATCTACAATACATGAATATAATTTTTGTGGCACTCAAACCCCAAAATAACCAATCAAAGGAATCAAAGGAAGTCAATTCAATGTTATATAGAAAATGCATTCATATTTTAGATGCAAAACTTTTCTGCCATGTTATATTTGAAGCAAGGTCTTGAAATTCAAACTGCAACTTCCTTAATTGCTTAACTTTTTGGGGTTTGATTGACTTCCAAAGAATTCGACTTTGCTAAACAAATACAAGAGTCTGTATTTTCACCTTCGATTCTCTCATCTCCAGGTATTGAAGAACATCAATATAACCCAATAGAACAATGCCCCGTTCACAGATAACCTAATGGCAATAATCAACAATATTTCCAAAGAATTCAGCAAAGAACCCTCACTGAATCGAAGTCATAAAGTAAGTGTCTATCTAGATAAGGCACACTAAACTATAGTTAGGAACATACTAACAGCATGGAATTATTACGATCATATGTATGGGACTTTACTCATCTAAGTGTCATTTCAACACTAACTACTACAATAAGCATGTATACTATTAGACATGACGTCAACGTTATATAGTCTTATTGTCATGCGTTCTTACTATGTACTTGCAACACAATATGCACACTGTTCCACAACTAGTTACTTGGACGGAACGTCAATGTAACAAAATGGATGACCTTCCTGGATACGACTTTTTTGTTTCTCGATTTAAACTTACTATAAGTCATGTTGTGAATTATCATTTGGCACAAAGTTAGATAATATTGTCTAGCTTTTAGAAATATCTCGGAAATTTGATTTTTAAATAAAGCTGTGATTCATGCATTTAGACCATCGCTTTTGTTACATTGAAGTAAGTCGTCAAAGTAACATACACGTATATTGGTAATATAACGGACTTTCGTCAATGTAAAAGCGAGGGGCTAAATATATGAATTGCAACTTCATTTACAAAACAAATTCCAAATCGGAGAAACTTATTTAAACTACACTCTATTTTCTAGCTTCGTGCCAAATTATAATCTGCAACTTGACTTATAAGTAGGTTTAATTCGAGAAAACAATAAAGTCGTAACCAGGAAATTCATCCGTTTTGTCACATTGACGTTCCGTCAAAACATGGGCTTTCAACTAGAGTTATGGAACAGTGATGCAGTTATGATTTGGAGCAAGTCATTAGTCTACCTGTCCTTTCCTTTTTTGCTTGCCCGAAATCGTTACTACATACCGACTGTGACTTGCAAATGTAGTTTCGAAATATATTTTAAGTTTTTTTCAATTTCCCGTCTATTTAATTTGAAGGTGGGCAACAAGATGGCTTTCATTTGAATTAAGAAATATCAAAAAAGTTGCTTCACTTTTAGTTTTCACATTTTACTGTTCAGATCTTTTGATTGATTCTGACAGTTACCAAATTGGTACAAACTACAGGGTGGTCCAAAAAAAAGTGAACCCCTGCAACAGGCTACAATTTTCTTAATACATGCATGAATTGGCTCATATTATCACATGTAGTAGAGAAAGGTCTAACATTTTGGTTGATGTCATAATTGAAAAAATTACAAGCGTTTAACAAACATGCCTGGAAATTAGATATTGTACAAAATTTTACAAATGTGATTCACGGAAATTGTTGAAACACATTGGATGATCTTAAACAGCTTTCAGTTAGAGACACAAGTTTAAAACCCTACCATATGACAAAAGGGACACTATTCAATAGAAAAAAACATTTCACACTTTCATTGATCATTTTGAAGCATTTTTAACTGTTCAACAGTTCAGGGGTATGTTACCTACACCAACAGTTAGAGGGGGGCCTCTTATGGAAGGAAGTTGCCCACTGTGACCAGGAATCTGATAACCCCTTCATCAAATATCTTTAGAAAATCAAAAGAAAATTCAATATTCAATGTTTTGAGCCATATATCATTAGAATTGGTCCATGATTTATCAAGATATTGACATTTCAAGATCATATAGGGGTATGTTCATGATTTCACTGGAAAATGTTTTCGTCTGTGGAAGCTTAGCACATCTCTTTTGATCACAATAACTTTGCAACTAACAAATGTAGGATGCTAGTTTTAAGCCATAATGTGCAAGATTTAAAATTGAACAAAGTCAGAAAATATTAGTTCTTTAAGACTGCAGCTTAAAAAATTCTCAGGGGAAATGTGTTAAAGGGTTGAAGAATCGCGGATATTGAAAATCACAATTTGTCCATTTTCAGTTATGTTTGGTTAGGGCTTATAATTTCTGCAAATTTCAAGACTAAGAAAAATGTATGTTACCAACATAGATTTTAGACCTTCCTCTACAACATGTGAAAATAAAAAATAGTTCCTGCAAGTAATAAGGGAAATATGGCCAGTTGCAGGGGTTCACTTTTTTTGGACCACCCTGTATGTTATAACGTTGTCACGTTGCACTTTTACATTTAGTATTCTTAGGAGCTCAGGAATCCTCAGGTCAAAATAATGATTAGTCAAATTATAATCATTATCTTATTTTAGTATTTATTTACCAGTCAATTACAGGCATCCTTTGAATATAATCATTTTATGAAGTATATATCATTCATAGGTAAACAGCGTTTGTTTGTAGATTAACTTGTTGACAACCTCTATCATTTTTGCTTTATTAGATAGCCCGTGTGTAACTGTGAATAACCTGATTCGCGTTACGAAACAAAGTTCAATACCACCCAAGGTAAACTCTATTTTAATAGTTTTCAGTTACTCGGTAATAACTTTGTTACAATGTTGTTCAAACTTAAGAGCGGGGTTATCGAAAAGAGTTTTATTTGGGTTGTGAACTCTTTCAAGTCTAACTGTATATACTTGTTGCATGGTGGCAGCATTATTTTAACGGGTTATCTTACCTTACTTTACCCTTATCTTACTTTTAAAAGGTTTAGAGTACAGAAACGAATAGTCAAGAGCATATTTTGTCAAGTCGAGCCCCTATAACTCAAAATACATGTACCTATAACTAATCTTAAAGGTACTTGTAGTATCAGATCTGACAGACATTGTTTCAATTTTAGAATAATTTTTGGGGCTATTATTGTATCACTCCTTTATTTTTAAAAAATTTACATTTGAGATCGTAAGGAATATACAGGGTCTCAAAAAAGGAAACCGAGATTAAATTGCTAATTTCTCAAAGATGAATAATGGTAGCAATATGCATACCATCATTTGCGTCATTATGTCTTCTTTCGTATGATACTTAGATGTTCTATTTTCCTCCATGGATGACTGAGCTATGAGGGATTTAAGTGACCATGTCAGAAATGGGTTTGTGCCACTTTCAGCCAAGTCAATTTAGTGATAGGTAACAACAAACATCAGGATATTACTCTTTTACTCATTTATTCCAATTAAAGTTACACGATATCATATTTAATACCCTTTTTAAATGGCCAATGTCCAATCGAAGTTGTTTCAACCCCAGTCTCCTTCAACATGACCCCCTTTCCTTTCAATACAAATGTCTGCCCTAGATCTCATCGCACGTACTGCATCCCTGATGATTTTTCTCTGTCCACTGAGATCCCCCTCTGCTGCAACAATCCTGGTCCTTACATCATCAACGGCTCTTGGTGATGTTGTTGACTTTATCCTTGAGATAACTCCAAGATAACCATCCTGGCATTGCCATTTTAATCCCTCATTGTCCAGTCATTCATGAAAGAAAAAGTGGCACAAACCCATTTCTGACATGGTCACTAAATCCCTTAGAACTCAGTCATCCATGGAGGAAAATAGACAACTTTAAAAAATAAGAAAGGGGACACTATAACTTATCAGATGATAGCTGTGAAATTTTCCTATAATTATTCATATTTAAATAAGCAATTAAACCCCGGATTCTTTTTGAGACACCCTGTAGTATATATTGGTAGGTCAATATAGCTTTGAAATCTCCCTAATTCTCAATTCTTTTAACTTACCTAGAATAGCATAGCGTATTAAGGAATAAAGAATTCTGTATCATTCTATATTGGGAATATAAAAGCATGAGGGAATGTACTAATGGAATGTACTAATCCATGCACATAATGCACAAGAATGATAAAATATAAGAAAAAACGCCAATTCGACCCCACATTTATGGGGGTAGAGTACATTATCAGAATGGGCTACATGCACGAATGCTTTTATATCCAATGTAGAATGATGCAAGGTTTTCAAACATGACCCTGGCCAACACAAAAAGACATTTATTGAGACCATGTATGATATGTCACTGAATCAAACATATCAAGTGTGTCAGTCTCACAAGTTCATCATCAGTTTAGGTTTGTGTTAAATGGATGACATGGTTATGGAATTTGATTGAAATTAACACGCTGATGATATGCCGTTGTAAAAGGGTAGGTGGTCCAATCAAATTTTGGTCCTACTCTCATTGATTTATATGGTGACCTTATTACAATTATTTTCCTTATCATTTATACACAGTCAGGGCCAGTAAGGGCCGTAAGGAAAGGGGACCATAATCCCCAAGGGACCATAATTTCTTTTACAGCGTCACCCGGTGTGAAAGAAATTATGGTCCCCCGGGAATTATGGTCCCCCCCCCTTTTAAAGGCCCTTACTGGCCCTGATTGTGTATAAGATAATAAGGGAAAGAGCACAAAGAGGTCACCATATAAATCAATGGAGAGTAGGACCATACATTAATAGGACCTCTTACCCTTTTACACCGGTGTGAAAGAAATTATGGTCCCCTGGGGATTATGGTCTCCTTTCTAAACGGCCCTTACCTATAGATCAATGGAGAGTAGGACCATAATTTGATAGGACCTCCTACCCTTTTACACCGGGTCCCTTTTCAAGAATAGCCCTGCTCAACCCGTGCATGTATCAAAAATAAATGCACAGCTTAATCATATTCATGCATACATCACTAAAATAAGGCAACAAGGCACCGAAATGCTCTGAGCTGATTGGCTGAGACACACTTGGTTTGAATTCATTTTAACAGTTATGGTATTTAAAATATTTTCCATAACCTTTTCAATTTTTCTTTCATATGTGGGCCAAATCTCCATTGATGCAATGTTAAGATTCTTTAAACCTTGGTTTGTTTGCTCAAAAACCAAATGTTACATGATTAATATGTTCATTAACAGGGTTATCACATAGTACATGTAGTATGCCATTCAAGTTTTAGACAGATTCAACCCACAGGCTCAACCCACACCTTTTAATAAATCATGAAATTAAGTGAATATTGCAAATTTTTAACATTGAGGCATTTTCAGTCAGGCCCAACCAAAACAAATACAAAACAACATTTATTATAGACAACCTATTTTGACACCTTTTTATGACACCAAATTATGGCGACAGCTTTTGTGAATGGATGTTGACCCTTTGAAACGCTTATGGACTTGGAGACTGAATTTTATCTATCCCACATCATTTGAGACTGAATGCTCCATCTTGTATGAGTACTTGTACTATTTTTAAGGTTATGAGTATTGGCTATCAACTTGGCTAATTTTTTCTTCAAAATGTATTGTAATGACATTGTTTCTTTTCACGTTAGATCATGGTTTTGGGCTATATGGGGTTTGTTTTTCTTGACTGGTATGCACTTAGAGTTTGCTTTTTCTTGTTCCATTACAACTTTAAGTACTTTCCCTTTGGCACTGGTGCTTTTATATTTATGAAGATAATGGTGTGCATATATGACATACATATATTATTTTTAGCTTCAAATATCTTTCAAAACGAGTTTTTTTTTAATAAAAAGAAAACCAATCAAAGATGAACAATTGAGTGCAAATCCACTCTCTGAACAAATCTCGTCCAGAGCGTGTGAAGATAATTATATGAGTTATTTAAAAATACAAATAATTGAATTTTATGCGCGCGCATCACCTATGTTTTCGTATCAATTTTCTGTGCACGCTTCGGATCTCTCGTCAACGCTCATCGTTTGCCTTCTGCCTTGTTGGCATATTTGATCTTGAAAATAGGCCTTGTGATTATCAGCTTCATGACTGGGTTAACTAGTCTTCGTATTCGATAGTATAATATATTTAAGATATATAGCGCGACCAGAACACAGTATCTCAAATCACCAATCGTGGGTCACGAGGATTGAAATTAGACGCTTTTGGTTTGATCGGTTGATGATACGAACAGCACGATAGGAGCGTAGATAGGATCTATACCAAAAGTTAAATTCTGATAAGTTCAGAAGCAACGTAAAAGCTAAAGAAAAAGTGGAACGTCTAAACGTCACTTACGATTGACAATAAATTAATCCGATAAAAACGTTTCGTTTAAACATAAAATCCTTAACACACTAGTGGACGGACGGGAGTACCTGACAACGAAAACTAAGTCCAAGAGCTATCTGAATAAAGAAAAAAGAGTTAACCAAAGACAACTGCGATTTTGCTGAGTCGGTAAGAGAGTGGTGAGTTAAATATTTTTTCTCTTTCATAACGTGGAACGAAAATTGCATGTCTGTAGTCGTGATTTCGTTTAGAAAAGAAAATGTAAATGAAACTGATTACCCATTAATATAGAGAGCAATAAAGGACAAATCCTAACATAACTCAAGTCTCATCATAAACATATAAAAAACATATATCCTCTGTAAAGAAAAAAGGTACATGGCCCTTTGTCCGTCATAACATTTTCAATAATTTATATAATAATACTTAACTTTTGGAGTCAAATGACGTAAATATAGGAATACATGGTGGAAATATTAAGAAATAGGTTGAACATTTTAAACCTTTAGCAATGGTTTAGAAATTGTCTCACAAACTCACTTATTTGACTTGTTTCTTCAAATTATGTCATAAATTTTCTATATGATGAATTCTTCATTGTTAAACCATTTCAAAAGAAAATGATGGTAGTGCCAAAACCCGTCTTAAACATGATTTCAGACAAATTTTACCACTTAAATAGATGTGAATTAAGGATAATGTAACCATTTTTCTCAATGCACATTTATATTCACATCTCTCCTAAATGTTGGTATGCATAAGCTTAGTACTGTTAGGTTGCATAACATTTATGGGTGATTGAGAAAGACAAAGGGTTATGATTATTTTACAATGTCAAATTTATTGTAATATGTGTTACCCCTACCCCTAATTTTGAACTGAGAAGAGACCTCTAAATCTGAAGGATATTACATCAAATCCTATCACAAGATGCTTGTATTAATCAGATTTTAATTCTATTAACTCTTATTTTTCACAAAATTTGATCGGTTGAAAACTTTTTAAAGTGGAGTACCTCTAAACTAACTAAGGAAACAAAACTTTAATTTTGTATCTATTGAGATCTCCTTATTGAGCACATTGCTGGATATTGGATTTCTTATATTATTCATGACGTCAATTGATGGTCAAAAATCGTGAGTTGTTCTTTACCAATCCTTTATAAATTTTAATCATATTTTTACGAAATTCTCCATTTGGTCAGAGTAAAAATACATTATATCTCTGAATGTTTGGTGTGGTAATAACGAAAATCATAAAGATATGATTGGTGATGAACCATGCACCCTATTCTTTACACAGGGTATATTTAAAGTTGGGATTGAGGAAGGTTTTGATATATAAGCGTTTAGGTCTGCGATACGGCTCCAAAATGAAATTGTGATGAAGTTGGATATATATCGGATGTTTCCTCACTTTTGCACTAAATTAAAAGTACATCTGTTTGGACATTACAGCTCATATGCTAATATTCACAAGTTGGACCAACTGGACTTTAATTGTTTGTTCTGCATTGTGAACTGCCATAATCTTAAATATGCGCTTCACATATATCAAATTATCAGAACAATGTACCTTCACATTGAATATCACATTGGATATGTGAATGTATAACCTAAAATTTCAAGTGCTTTCACATTTTATGATATACTCTTGTTTTATCAGTGACTGTTAACCTCAAGAAGTCTTCACATTTATTTACGGTTTTCAAGATAACTGGGTCTGGAGTCCATAGCCCACTTGAAAGGATGTGTCATCGAAATGTGTTACATAGCGTTTTGATCATTACGAATAATTTACATTTTGACAAAAAAACACCAACATAGGCCTGTCATTCTGCATACAGTTCACACCTCCACTCCTAATCTTAGAAACCCATTTCCACAAGATACACACGATGTGTCATTCATTCATCTTTATGATAAGGACTTTGACGTATTTGCTACAACAACGTTTCATTTGACATTAATTTAGCGGTTCAAAATCCTCCGAAAAGGAAATTTAAAATATAGTCGACTCCTTAGATCTCCATGGTTATAACAATGCCTTGGAATAGGTAAGATATGACTGAGACTTTGATTTGAATAAAAATCAATGTCCTGATCACATTAATGATCTATTAAATGACAATATAAAGAAAAGAATACAGTTTTTAGTACAGTGGATAATCGTGCTTTAAACAGTACAAATACTGATTATTAAAAATTTACATGATTTAGATTTATAGTGACATTTTCAACAAGTACATCTGTCATGAAATAAATAGAAAGTCCTGAACGTATTTTGCCCTCTAGCTTTAAACAATTGAAAATCGGAGCTACAGGTAAATCTTTATGAGAAATATTAATGCACCTGTTCTAAATAATAATTCCCATGCTTTTTACAAGTAATGTTTCCTTTTATTGTAGGTCATGGGTTTTATAGTGCTATTATGGGTTTTTCTCCTCTCGTTTGGTGTGTCTGCCGAGCTGACTGACAGCTCTACTGACGACGACCATCATCATCATCATGTTGATCTTCCGAAGGAGAATGCCTTTATTGATGCTATTTATATGCGGTTTGGACACGATGGAATTCACATTGATGAACATGGTAAGTCGGACAGATGTTTGTATATCCTCCACACAGCTTTGATTTAAAAAATGTATAAGGTGATAAAGTATAAACTATAAGATGAATGTTATTTTTGTTATTCTGGGTATTCTATTTTTCTCTGTGAGACGGCGAAGTCCCATAGAGCAAACGTACTTTCAAAACGTACAATGTCAGATAACCAACTTTTTAATTTTTCAAATGGTAAATCAACATATAGCGTTTGGTTATATATTTAAGGATTTGAGGAGATATTGAAACAGTTGAAAATAGGGAAGAAATCTGAAGATAATCACGAGGGTCATGGTCACGAGGGTCATGGTCACGAGGGTCATGGACACGATGAAGAAGAACACGAAGAACATGACGATGACTCGCATGCGGATGAACACTTAAGACGTAGCGCTGATGGTTTGAACAACATTGACTCTGATGGTCATGATGAGGAACATGTACACGAAGACATGACCAATGTTACAACAAATGTAATCAAATGTATTTCTTATCCAATGCTAATCCTGTTAATATTCAGTTGTTGGATTTATACTAGAGCCCTAAGACGTCTTGGCTAAAACATTTTAGCGTTAAAACGTTTTAAAAATGTAATATAAATCCAGATTTTCTCAAGAGCTCTCGGCAAAGAGCGCTTAGCTAAAACGTTTTACAATTTGAACTAATTTAGGCTAATTGTAAATCACTCAGAAAATTGTTATACTTTTAGTGTTACACAAGCGCACATTTTCAAAGGATTCACCAAGTGAATGCGTCCCATGGTATCAACAAAACTGTCTTCAGACAGATGTCACCATCTTTAGTTCAGCAAGTGTTGGACAAACCTTGTGAACATCACTCACATAATCATCGCACAAGAAACGCACCGACAACTGCCCAAAGTAAGTACGAATTAAAATGTATTGCATATGAGTATTGTTTTGATATTGAATATGTTCTATACAAGATAAATATATAATCAGATGAGATCATACATGTCATATATAAGCTTATAGATCGTAAGGCCAAATTTATGTGAAAACATAAACTAGTTTGATATTATTTTCAAATGTGGGAAAAAGCGGTTTCGGTAGAATATGAAAACCAGACCACAGATTTGAAAACTTTAGCAAACAGGCGTGGTTAAGTCACAATTTAATGCTTGAACACAATAAATGGAAAAACTCGAAAGCATTCTATGAACAAATAATTTAATTATTTTGAGTTATATCTAAAGTATTCAAACCTACTTCATACTTGTATCTGCCAGCGTGTTTAACTAGTCAGTGTCACTGCATTGGCCTTCATCAATTTATTTATTACTCCTTGCATTGCTTTCTAAACTGTGATTTGAATATCACTGTTTTTAATTTTGCAAAAATGCTTGTGTTTCAGTATACGGCTTTGGAACTTTGGCTGTATTCATTATAAGTTTAGCCAGTTTAGGAGGGACATGTATTATTGGTTACAGAAACAAACCTGTATTTGATTACATACTGTCATTCATGCTTGCCCTGGGATTTGCTGCCCTTTCTGGTGACGCATTTCTGCACCTAATACCAACGGTATTGACACTTTCGATAACTTCTATGACATAAAAACTTATTGTCCCAAGTTCAGTAGGGATATAGGGTATTCCTCAGGCTGTCGTCAAATCTGTCAGTAGAAAGTATATCTAATTAACATATATTTCATATTTTGTGCTGACCCTCAAGGATCATGACTGTGTGTACTGGGGGGAAGGGGGGGGGGTGTCGAGAAAAGGGAATTTCAGTTAGCTTCAAGATCACTCTGAAGAATGAGTAGAATCCAAATATTGAATCTTTTTCTGATTCGAGCCTTAAAAATCAAAAATGGCCCCCGTGGTTAGAAAAAGCAGTAATTTTAGATCTCTTCAAAATATGACTATATTACACTCAAGTAATATATATTTATTTTTGAGTATATCACAATTATTTTTATAAATTTATAATAATTGTGCTTCGGAAAATTTAGCATCGGTACCTAATATGAGAATAATAGGAGATGGCTTTATTATACTGAAATAGTATGACAGATTCATAATTTGTTCGTTTGGATTTGCTACGTCTCCGTGGAGTTGGCGTTTTCTAGTAAGTGAAAATAGTTAAATGTTTAATGATTTTTGGGGTAATGCTACTCTTCATCCAAGATGAAAAATCCTATAGCAATTGCTACGAATTCTCCGCATCATACAACTATCGTAATTCCCATCATATGAATAGTAAACGTTTTTGAACTATTTCTAAATTTATTTTCCTGTTTTTATCAGGCACTTGGGCTTCACGTGCACGACCATGGTGCAGAGTCGGGTACTATCGTTGTCCAGGATCACGTCTGGAAGATGTTAACTGTCATGGGGAGTGTCTATCTCTTCTACTTGCTGGAGATCATCATGTCCACTTATTATAGTCATTCACATGGGCCTGCTGGTAACGAGCATGTAAGAAATTAGATTGCTTATTGAGTATGTTGAGCAAAAATTAACAAACCTAACAATCATTACTATCAAAACAGATATGATAAGACTCTGTATGTTACATTAATGATAATAATGCTGCTGAAATAATGCTAAAATGTCAATGATGAAAAAAGACCAATATCATAAGAGACATAAAATGTGAAAATATTATGTTTTGCTTCTTTTAGAATCAGACACATATTCAGTATAGCATTGAAGAACGGAATGAAAATGATTACTATATGAGTAAGAAATCTAACTTCAATAGCGATACTTCCGAGAAACATATGAATGGGCATCTTCAAAATGGATCTATTAAAAAGCACAACGAAGCTAATGGAAACTTGGTGAGTTTAGTATACCACATTCTTTCCTCACTCAAAAATATTATTAATCATTTAGAAGCAATATTATTCTAATTAAATAGATATATTGGGAACCCTTGTGTTCCTCATTGTTACTTGATTTATTTCTTTATTATCTCAACTTGTGTTTAAGACATGAAACCTCTTTTAGTTTCCATCTTATCGACCTATAACTTTCCAGGTACCAACCGCAAGTTCAACGTCATTGGCATCTCAGATGACAGTTGCGTCTACAAAGCCTCTTGTGGAGAACGAAAGTAAAAGTGCGTAGTTTGTCAAAGTAAAACAATATACATTGATAATAAGAAGAGCTGATAAGCAAACTAGACCAAATAAGATAATGATTAGACTTATCTGTAAACACAAATGATATAGCGATCGAGTTTATATGATCATGTGACAGAGTTTTCCCAAACCGTCTCTTCTATCATTGCTTGGAATTCTCAACGACGTTGTTGGTCATTCTTGAACTGTGGCGTATCATGACATAGTCCTTATTGTATAAAGGAAAGAGATAAAACTCCCCTTTCACATATTTTGTAGCTTATATTCCTATATCATTTTTTGATCATGATTCTGGATAGTTGGGGATTGTTTTCCTTTAAACTGGTGATATTTTCTTTTTTACACTTTCTGTAATAATGTTTGGTAATTTCCCTTTGGTGCCTGTGCATATATATTTATGTTTTAAGGCATCATCAGCCCTCTTGCTCTCATGGTCACTGCTGGAGATGCTATCCATAACTTTGCTGATGGACTTGCAATTGGAGCGGCTTTCAGTATTGACATTAATAGTGGCATTTCAACCTCAATAGCTGTGCTTTGCCATGAAGTACCCCATGAATTTGGTAAGTTAAGACAGTTTTAATACTTTATAATATTTCATATAATCACTTGATGGTTATGTTTCATACCAGAAATTTTAAAAACAGATCTGTGAGCATATCAGATAAATATATTTATCCCATACTTGGACGTGTTACGGGTACATAAAGCCGGTTTGTAAAATCTTATATTTTCATCAGCGGGCAGATATAGCTTTACGTCCCGCTCCGAGCGGGCAGATATACTATATCTGCCCGCTACGTCATAATCGCTGTTCCCGTATTGGTTCTTTTTTGTAACGTTCGCATACTGTAAACGACAATGGAGAAAAACGCAGACAATCTCGACCTGTTTGATGCTTTAAAGAAGGGAAGGAGCAGTGTACCGGCGTTAATAATCAAAGATTTGAATAGGAAAGAAACAGGAATACAAAACTGGAAATGAATATTTTAAGAATATTCCACGGTTGGTTGCAAAGTTTCTGAACTTTGGCAAATTGAACAATGTGATTGGTATGGGATAAACAGATCATCCAATAGTCGGTTCAGGATATTTGGATTATCCCTTGGCCAATATAATATATCTACCCTCGGGACCTACGGCCCTCGGGCAGATATATTATATTGGCCTCGGGATAATCCCAATATCCTGAACCTCATATAGGATAATCTCTATGTATACATATGATGTACTTTATTTGCCTCGGGATAATCCCAGTTTCCTGAATCTCATATAGGATAATATATATATTTGTCCTCAGCATATGGACTTATATTTTAGGTGATTTTGCTGCTTTGCTGTCAACAGGGATGAGCTATAAAAAGGCAATAGTAATAACCTTATTGACACAAATGACAGCATTTGTTGGCTTGTACATCGGAATAGCCATAGGACAACAGGCAAACGCTAGACAGTGGATATTCGCAGTGACATCAGGAATGTTTTTATACGTTGCACTGACTGAACTGGTAAGATCATTTTCTTTCAAAATGATAAGCAAGTATAATCATTCATTTCTTGATTCAATGAAATAAATGTGATGTTTATTTGTATGACGTTTTTTATGAATGAAACCAATTAGTGAAACCAAAGAAAAAATGGTCAATTTATTTCCTGATTATTAAAAACTACTATAAAAAGTGATTGGTTTTGTATTTTCAGCTGCCAGAACTTGTTAACTACTACAAGCACTTAAAAAACCGATGCGCTGTTTTGATTTGTGAAAACCTTGGTATCCTTCTTGGCACGACTATTTTACTGCTTATTGCAATATTTGAAGAGCACATAAGAGTATAAGCATCTCGACTTATGTTTGTAAATAATGCAAAACAGTGGACACAATGAATGATAAATGATGACTGTACAAGTATGTAACCATCGGATATTGATGTTACATTATTAATAGTACAGGGTCGAGTCCCTTCAGCAGTTAATCCTATATAATTCATTAATCCACGGATTCTGGACACATGCTTAGGAGGAGGATTAATTGGTTGTTTGAACAAAATCCACCAGAACAAGTTTTGGTCACTTTTGCCCAAAATCATGTTTTAGAACCACTGCTGGGGGGGGGGGGGTCAAACTAGAGAATTAGTTAATGTGTTTATGTGCGAAGGGTTTATGCAAACTTGAAATGTGCACTGTTGATGTCTAATTTTAATGATATTGTATCACTCTTCTAAGTTATGTATTACGCCCGGTTATCGGACAGAATGAATGGAGGGCGGAGATGCGGCAATTTCTGCAAGGAAATTCAACAAATCTGGAAGATTTACTTTTTCAAGAGAAAGTTTACAATTTAATTGCTATATGAATAGGCGCACGACATGGTAAAATATGTTAGGTCTCTAGGATTTTTTGAACTGACACGCTTCTAAGATATGAGATCTGTTAAAAAAAGGCACATCGTCACCAACGTGCAAAAGTTATATGTTTTTGCTCAGGCAACAATGGTCTACACGACCTGTAATAACTACTTATAAGGGACGTTATCATTACAAAAGTAATGTCATTGGAGATTAATATGTCTTTAAGATGGAACAAGTTAACACGAATTCGCGTATTTAAAAAATAACTTAGTAAGAAACTGTATGTTACACCTCTGAAGGGTGAAAAATGGGGATATTTGGAGTTATATGAACTAAAGTCAAGTAACAGCTCTTATCATGTCCCGTTAAATCCTGCTCCTTGCAGAAATCGCCGCACCCCCCCCCCCCCTCCGTTCATTCTGTCCGATCAACGGGCGTGACGTTTAATGAATTTCATAATGACAAAGTAGGTATATACATAGGTACATACATAGGTATATTCCATGTTTAGAGTGTAAAGTAACTCTTCATATTATGCCAGTACACTCCATGCTTTGCGATGCACTATTGAACAATTATTGACTAATGTACGTTTTGTATTTAGTTTCTTCAAAAATTGTAAATGCGAAAATGATGTAAGATATTCATTAATTCATCTATGTAACACTGCAACATATGCCCTCTGGGTATCTAGCGACTTGTTATTACTTTAGTGAAATTATTGAATAAATAAAACTGAATTAAATGAATATTTTCATGTTTTTATACCCATTTCTAGATGCTTGCTATATACACTCCCCTCCATAAGTTTGGCAACCTTTTTTCCCCATTGAACTACGTGTTAAAGCCTCTTTACGTTTGAATTTTTATTTACTTAACCAGCGATGAAATAACTTATAATATTGATGGAAACGTAACTTGACTTTATTTCCAATACCTCCAAATTTTCTCAATTTTTTTCCTGAATTACAATAGGTCGAAAATTGATGATAAATTTGATGAATTTTTGAAAATCGTCATTCCCATGTAATTCAATGGGAAATGGAGGGTTCGGGGCAAATCAGAAATCAGGATATATTTTCAGTAAAAGATTCAGCAAAAAATATTTTTATATAGAAAATTGAATTGTCTAACTTTTTTGAACACTAAGTGTTTAGTTTATTTGATGAATATTAAAGTTACAGCGCTTCAAAGTCCTTTTTGAAAAACAATTTTGACTTTAAAGCCCTATAATTTTGTTGAACCTGAAGAAACATATTAGTATCAATTTTTTGTTAAATAAAGTTAGCAAATTCAATTGCCTGCCTAACTCGTATTTTCTGCAAGGACTCGTATGGATGGATATTCTGTCATATGACTTGCGGCAAACCTTCCATTTCCCATTGGTTAACATGGGAATGTCGATTTTCAAAAATTCATCAATATTCGACCTATTGTAATTGAGGAAAAAAATTGAGAAAATTTGGAGGTATTGGAATTAAGGTCAAATTACATTCCCATCAATAGTTTAAGTATTTCCATCACAGGTTAAGTAAATAAAAATTCAAAGGTAAAGAGGCTTTAACACGTAGTTCAATGGGGGAAAAAGGTTGCCAAACTTATGGAGGGGAGTGTATGTTCGGCTAGTAGGAATCTGAGTTCGAACCAAACTGATGAACGTTGCTGTAACGTCAACAAAAAGTAGTTTTATCATAAATAATAGGCTCTTATTATTTCAAATACGTTCAAACACGCATATGGGCCAATATACGATAATTGGTCTTTTAAAAATCTGTTAACATACAGAGACTGCGACATATTTGTTGATTTCATGGACATGCAATGTCACTGGAGGAACTCATACAGCGAGTTACGAAAACGGATTCGTTCCCGTACAAAATGGCGCAACCGTTATTTGCTAAAATTTGTTTTTCCATGACTCTGTGAGATATAGGCAAAATCATTACTACTTTTTTTGGCACAAACGTAACTCATGGTCTTATGCTTCAGAAATGTACGCAAATTGCTGTTCACAGAAGATATTATATTTTTCTAGAAAATCTTTAAGTCGATTTGCCATTACTCGCTCCAACACTTTTGAGAATACCGATAATAGGGAAATTGGTCTGTAGTTATTGAATTTAGTTTCATCCTCCTTTTTATTAAATATAGGCTTGACCTTTGCTTTTTAGTAAGTCTGGAAATGTTGCTTGTGAAAGAGAGAGGTTGCATATATATGTCACAGGTATAATTAAATTATCCTCGGCTATTTTTATTGCAATTGGTTTGATTTGATCTTGACCAGGGCTTTTGTCTTCAAGTTCTTGTAAGATTGCTCATTTCATTATTTGAGACATCTGATAAAGAATTTGACCTATTAAAAAAAAAATTCTAAGTAATACCTAGGCTGTTTTTGAGAGATTGGAATTTTCTAGCAAGTTTGTTTCCGATATTAGAGAAAAAAAATTTGAAGTTGTTTACGATTTCCTGTGGTTCCTTAAAGTGCTTATCTCCTGATCTAAATGTAGAAGAAATTTTTGGGGGAGAATTTTCGCTTAAGGATGCCATTTATTAATAACCATGTGTCCTTCATGCTTCCTTTGATTTTATCAAATTTATTGTCATAATATAGCTTCTCAGCTTTCCTTTTTTGCGAAGAACACATTTATACTTTTTATCTTCAGATTTTCTTGCTTATGAAGGATTTTTCAAATATTTCTTTAATTGCTTTAGATATCCACGGTTTCTCTATTGTGAGTACAGCCTGTATATCTAAGTTTCTTTGGTAGTCAAAGGAAAGCTAGGATTATATGCACATTTGATTATGTTTGAGAAAAGTTGATAAGCTTCATTAACATTATCATGTTGATAGATTTCTCAAAAACCCATATTGTTTATCTCATTTTTGAAATATGCCATGGTTTCTTCTTTAATCTGATTTTAAGCTTTCGTCAGGTAATTTATGTTTGCTTTGATTTGTAATTGATAAAACTGATGTAAAATCTTAATTATTTATTTAAAATTAAACTTAAAAACTTTACTTGATTTGTCTTGTTGATTGTTTGTAATTGTCGAATGTAGGTTTTTGATGGAATGACAGTGAAATAGCTTTATAATTAACATTTTTGATGACCCCCCGTAACTTCCTGGATTCATTTCTTGATTCTCACTTATTCAATTAATGTTTTAAACTGTTGTCTTTATTTAAAGGTGGCAGCACCTTACATATAGTCAAACTATCAATCTTAACATTCCGCTCAAATCCGGTGCGACCTGTTGCCACGCTACCACTTGTTTGCTTGTTTAGATTTGCTTGTTTGTTTGATTGTACGGATTGCTTAGCAATCTACATTACTAGATTGAGGAGAAAATTGGAAAAATGTGGAGGTATTGGAAATAAAGTCAAATTACGTTTCCATCAAAAGTATTCATCGCAGTTTATGTAAATAAAAATTTAACACGTAGTTCAATGGGGGAGCTAAGGTTGCCAAACTTATGGAGGGGAGTGTAAATCACGCCCATCAGTATATGATGTCTAATTCTATCACAAGATGCTTGTATTAATCAGACTCATTCTATTAACTTCTTAAAACGGGGTATTCCTCTAAACTAATTTACTAACAAAAAATTCTGTTCCATCATCTCTAACGTTTTACCGTCTTTACAAAACTCTGAAATTTTTCCCATTTGGTCGAAGTATACATACATTGTACCTCTCTATGTTTGGTATGATAAAAACGAAAATATTTCATAAATGACCATGTACCTTTTTTCTTTACACAGGGTATATTTAAAGTGGGCATGTGGAAGGGTTTTAATATATAAGATCGTGTATGTCTGCGATACGGTTCCATTCACACAACGTGTGAATGAAATGGTTATGTCATTAGTTTGATAAATACTCAAATGAAGGTACATCTGGGATATAACGGCCCACGTGCTTATATTCATAAGTTGGACCAACTGGACTTTAATTATTTGTTCTGCAATGTGAAGTGATATAAGCTTAAGTATGCGCTTCACATATATCACACAATGTAACTTCACATTGAATATGTGAATAGATATGTGAAAATATAACCACGATTTTCAAGTGCTTTCACATTTTAGGACTTACTCTTGTTTTATCAGTGACTGTTAACGTCAAGAGGCATTCACATTTATTTACGGATTTCGAAATAACACGCCTAACCATCGACAACATAGTACAGTGACAAAATATAAGCCTACGGGTGTGCACTTTAGACGTACGTTTTCATTTCCGTCATTTTGGACCGCCATTTTTTCGAATGGTGAAGCGAGGTAAGAAATAGCTTTGTTTATAATATCCCTGTAGTGACAATGCAACCACTTTTTATTTTGGATGTTACAACAAAAAATAGTTTTTGTACGTTGTCAACTCGATTGTACGTTGACACATTTAAAAGAAACAAAAATATTTAGTCCGATAATCCAGAATATGATCCTGATATGATTATTTCACATTTGCCAGTTCTCTTTGTGGTTCATGATCTGATATTTAAATTCTTTTTGGTTGACGGTCCATAAAAAATTTAGGACTCAGTTTGTACGGGTAACGTTTATTTGACCTTATTGAAAACATTCTTATTGGAAAGGGTTTATGATGACCAGCGTCCTCTGTAGGCCCTGGAGTTATTGCACAAGTTATTTACTTTCAATTACAAGTAATTTTTTGAAAATACTAGTTAAAACTCATACTAGTAATTTTTCAAAAAAACTTGCCATTCATACTAGTATTGTTTTTCTGAGGATCTGAAACTCTGGACCTTGACACTTGTCGTCCCCCTGGTAACATTCATTCTAAACGCATATATATGAGTCAAACAATGCTTTGGCGCAATATTTCCAGAGAATGTCACAAATAACATAATTCAGTGAACGATGTATGGCATGCACAATTTCTGTCGTATCTTCTAAGATTTTTGATTATCTTATCCCTTTGGGATTAATATACCATTAGCCCAGATGGCGAAGGCAAAAGAGCCAAGATTATACTATTCTGCCCGCTGAAATGATGTTGTTATTGGTATTCTCTCAAACGTTGCAGTCAAACTGACAACGTACAGTCGAGTTGACAACGTACATTTCTTATTCTTTAGATTATAGCCGAAATGTGTAGTTTAGAGAAATATATTCTTATAAAAATTCTCGAAAATTTGTGGGTTGAATTACCAAGGAAAAACTGAGCACTGATCAATATGTTAACGTTATTATGAAGTTCAACGTCTTGCCACAAGGACGATTGGCACCCAGAATGCAACATCGATATTCTTCAACAAAGCTAGCGTCAGTCCCGGAGTCGTATTTCTCACTTCAAAATTTGAATCGCAAGTTTTCGTCTTATTTCCGAACAAAAAATTCAAATCACACAAATAGAGATCAAGACCATTAGTTAAAATATTTTGAATGCTGGTTGTGAATTTATAGTCAGGTAAATATGAACAATAATGACGCCAGCTTTGTTGGAGAATATCGTTCATTCTCCCTGCAGCCGTAGAAATTTACAGGCATGATCGGCAATATCGTATCATTTGGAGATTAAAAATTAAAGAATATCAAGTTGTAACTCTGGCTTCCAATCCTACATGGTTTTGCAAAGAGCATGCACATGAAATTAGATATGACATACTTGATGTAAACCTCATATAAATTTTTAAAACATATATCATAGGTCATGCTTCAAATCATTGAATTTGCTTCAATATTTGACAACGTACATCTAAAGTATATTTTGTCACTGTACTTTGTCGATGGTTAGGCGTGGAAAACAGGGTCTGGAGTCCATTACCTACTTGATAGGACGTGTCTTCGAAATGTGTTACATAGCGATGTGATCATTACGAATAATTTACCTTTTCACAAAATATGTCATTTATCCCATTCTGGATTGGGACTTTCAAGAAAAATAATTTAGCGAGTCCGATCTCCATCATGATTACAATGCCTTTGAATAGGTTTCTTAGGAGATTTTGATTTATTTAAATAGAATGTAATATATGTCCTGTTTAATATGCTCTATTAAATAGCCAAATAGAGAAAACAACAGTTTTTGGAATATTTGGCAATCGTAATACTGATAATTAAGATTTATAGTGGAATTTTCAACAATAACGTTTGTCATCAAATAAATAGAAAGTTCTAAACGTATTTTGCCCTCAAGCTTAAAATAATTTAAAATCGGAGCTGCAAGTGAATTATAGTGAGAAATATTAATGCACCTGTTCTAAATAATAATTCCAATGATTTTATAATTTTTTCTTTCATTGTAGGTCATGGGTTTTATATTGCTATTTGGAATTTTTCTATTCTTGTTTGGTGTATCTGCCGAGCTAACTGAATTTTCTACTGACGACGATCATCATCATCATCATGTTGATCTTCCGAAGGAGAATGCCTTTATTGATGCTATTTATATGCGGTTTGGGCATGATGGAGTCAAAATTGATGAACATGGTAAGTCGGCTAGATGAAACTATAAGGTGAGCGTCATTTTTTAAATTTTGTGGTATTTTTCTGTGAGACGGCAAAGTCACATATCTAGCAAAATTAATGTACTTTCAAACGTACTATGTCAGATAAAAAACTTTTGATTTTTTCGAATGGTAAATCAACATGTAACACATTTGGCGTTTGACAATATTTAAGGATTTGAGGAGATATTGAAACAGTTAAAAATAGGGAAGATATCTGAAGATGAACACGAGGGCCATGGGCACAATGAAGAAGAACATGAAGGGCATGCTCATGACTCGCATGATGATGAGCACCTAAGACGCAGCTCAGGTGGTTTGACTACCAGGGACAACATTAAATCTGACTTTGCTGATAGCCATGATGAGGAACATGTACACGAGGACAAGCGAAATGTTACAACAAATGTAAGAAGACGTGTCTTATATCCATAACTAATCTCTGGATATTAATTATTACAAACAAGTTACTGTTCAAAATGTTTTTAATGTAACTGAAAGTACCTTTATTGAAGTTCACATCCATGTCCTTGATTACGTATGTATACTGTTTATCTATTTTAGACATTAATTTCACTGTATATTTTTTAAACAAATGTATTTTGACATTTAGCCGTCTTTAGTGTCACGATCATAATTCCAATCAATAGATACATTTGGAGCAAATTTAATTGTAAATGACCCGGAAAATTGTTATACTTTTAGTGTTACACAAGCGCACATTTTCAAAGGATTCACCAAGTGAATGCGTCTCAGGGTATCAACAAAACTGTCTTCAGACAGATGTCACCATCTTTAGTTCAGCAAGTGTTAGACAAACCGTGTGAACATCACTCACATAATCATCGCAAAAGAAACGCACCGACAACTGCCCAAAGTAAGTATGAAGAAATATTTATTGTTCAGGGTGTGAAAATAGAAATGGGACACTCACATGTATTCTATTAAAAAAAGCAGATATGAACCAAATGTCTGGAAAACTAAAAAAGTATTAAGTTGAAACATTTCTGTTTGTGTTTGTAAACTTTCAAACCAAAAAGCCAAGTTTTCATCGTTTTTCATTTTTGAAATTGCAGAATTGTTCATAATTTCTATCTCATCTATAAAGCATTGTTATTTGTAGACAAGGCAATTTCTCTTATGTTAAGAATAAAAGTATTGCAAATTTTTATTAAAGCAACTAATGTTTACTGGGCACTTTGTATGAATTGTTCCAAAAATAACTAGGAATCAGGGTTTCTAGTCAAAAATGGAACTACTTATGATGATCTGTTGATTATGCAATTGCATTTCGAGACAAATTGATGTTAGAAAGACTCGTAAATGGTATCAAAAGTTTCAGGACGGCATACATAATGTACAGTTATGACTTAAGTGAGATCGAGATCGCTATTATAAAAGACAGAGGATTACATACTAGACAATAGAAATCCTTTTCATGATTTTTTTTTCATTTTACATTGTATACATTTTTACATTGTCTTACATTGCTTTTTATGAATTCTGACTATTACATTAAAAAACGGCCACAATTTCTACAACATTGAAGATAAGGCACATAATTAATTAAAGCTAAATGAATTCTCCCTCTTTTGGTATATAACACGTGGTTTATCTGTGTTATCCTAAATCTTCTAAGAATGATACAACGTTTCCCATTTTTATTGCCGACTGTGTGTTGTTTACCACAGTTAAGTTGGACAAGTCGAGATAAATATGATAAATAGATATGCTAGGTACATATAATGATATAAGATATCACATGTTTTAACCGTGGTCAAAACAAGATCAGCTATATAACACCAAGTGATCAATCACATATTTGAGATAAGGTTGATATTAGGGGTGGTATTGGAATTAACGAGATGATATCAGGTTTGATATCGATATTATCCCGCTAATTCTAATATCAACCGTCCTGGATAATCTGACATGTTTCAACTCCAAATATCTAACGATATGGGCTTGTTTAAAATACGTATCATATAAAACCAGTTATATAACTATCAATGGCATATTACACGATAATTTGTAGTCTAAGTAAGGGACTATTGTAAACACTGTAACTGAACGATTGTCTATTGAGAAAACTACATGCATTTGTATAGGGCGATTTATACGTACAGGTTGACGTTTCGATTTTATATGCATTGCTTAAAGGCTCCAATGTCACTACAATGGCTTTCTTCAGTTAATTTATTATTGCTCCTTGCTTTCTAAAATGTGATTTAAATGTCAATGTTTTACATTATGAAAATGCTTATGTTTCAGTATACGGCTTTGGAACTTTGGCTGTATTCATTATAAGTTTAGCCAGTTTAGGAGGGACATGTATTATTGGTTACAGAAACAAACCTGTATTTGATTACATACTGTCATTCATGCTTGCAATGGGCTTTGGTGCCCTCGCTGGTGACGCTTTTCTGCACCTAATTCCAACGGTATTGACAATTTCGATAACTTTGATGACATATAACTTAGTATCCCAACGAACTTAGTTCAGTAGGGATATAGGGAATCCCTCCGTCCATAAGTCTGTAAATAGAAAATATATCTAGGCTAATTAATATACATTTCATGTTTAAGGGGGTCGAGAAAAAGGAAAATTTTGTTAATTTTTAGATCACCCTGATGAATGAGTTGAATCGAAATTTTGAATCTTTTTCCGATTGGACAAAGAAGTTTTCAAAATGATAGTAGTCCCAAGACAATTGTGGTCATGACGAGTCAGTCAGCTGGTATGAAGGTACATTTGGCATCTTTTTGCAATGATAACATGCCATTTCTTTTAAAAATGCGTTTATTTGAGAGTTCTCTGAAGGAAAATTTCGAGTCAAGTGGTGTATTAATTTTGGCTTCATTTCAATTTCTGGCCCTGGCAGAGAGAGGGGTTGTGTCACGATTGTAGTTTCACTGTTCCACAACTGGATGACTCTAACTGCAGTTAGCTTCATTCAAGATGGTTGCCGAGATTCTTTCGTTTTCGATAAACCTCCGATTTCAGCTAAACTAAGTTGAATCTTGATTCCAAAAGTTTCGCCATGCAAATTAATAAAACTATGATTGTATTCAACCACAAATGAATGCTCTAACACCCATAATATTAGAGAATTTTAAAGAAAACGACTTCACTTAGAATGACTCTAACTGAAGTTGATGATCTACGCCATCATGACGTCATCATCAACTTCAGTTAGAGTCATTCTAAGTGAAGCCGTTTTCTTTAAAATTCTCCAATATCGCGGTTGTTTGAGCATTTATTTGTGGTTATTTACCATCGTAGCTTTATTAATTTGCATGGCGAAACATTCGGAATCCAGATTCAACTTATTTTAGCTGAAATCGGAGGTTTATCGAAAACGAAATGATCTCGGCAACCATCTTGAATGAAGCTAACTGCAGTTAGAGTCATCCAGTTGTGGAACAGTGAGTTTAGACATATGCATTGCTTTTGAACCTCAGATAGGCCAGCTGGGCCACATAAATCCATAACTCGGTTTACAAAATCAGGCGTTTGACCTTTGTACATGACTAGTACGAAGACGTAAATTAATTGTGGCTTTAGATCACAGTCTACAATGCACCTATTATTACACTGCCCTCTATTCATTGTTCAGCGAAACTTGTTTTTGGAAGAACTTGGGGAACTGCCATCCTTTGATTTAACCGTGTTTGGTCAACTCAGACAGCAAGACAGGGTAAATTATTTGTTATACGGTGATTGCTCATTATCGTATCTGACAAATCAGAAAATTGTTGAAATGACTGCAGGTTTTCTGCAGTTAATTGTTACTATTTTAAATGAGTTAGTTTTTATTTTTATATACTGTCCTGCATTACCGAGTTGATCCTTAAATCTCATTGCAACTTCACTTTACATTATATAAATTCTTGACTACCAGGGCCAATAATGCATTGCTTCGGCCCTTGCTGTGTTTGTAATTTGTTTTGTTTAAATGATAATAAAAAACTTTAAACGTAAATTAGGACTGCCTTGCCATTCGAGCCTTTAGTAAAATCCAAAATGGCCACCCGAAAAGGAAATGCTATAATCTGAGATCTCTTCAAAGCCATGGTGGACCACATAAATCCATAACTCGGGATACAAAATCAGGCGTTTGACCTTTGTCCATTGACTTGTACGATGACGTAAATTAGGGCTGTCTTGCCATTCGAGCCTTTCGTAAAATCCAAAATGGCCATCCGAAAAGGAAATAGTAGTATAATCTGAGATCTCTTCAAAATACGACTATATTCCATTCGCGTTTAAGATATTTATTTTAGAGTATATCACAATTATTTTATGCTATGTTTCATAATCAGACTTCAGAAAATTTAGAATGGGTATCTAATATGATAATTCTCAATAATTAGGAGATTCGTTCGTTGGGATTTTAAACTCCGTGGAGTTGGCGTTTTCTAGTAAGTGAAAATAATAAAATACTTAACGATATCTGGTGTAATGATACTCTTCCTGGATGAGAAAAATATATATTACAATTGCATACGAATTCTCCACATTGTATTCCCATTCATTCTATGAAATGTACAAAATGTTTTTGCATTATTTCTAAATGTTCCTGTTTTAATCAGGCACTTGGGCTTCACGTGCACGACCATGGTGCAGAGTCGGGTACTATCGTTGTTCAGGATCACGTCTGGAAGATGTTAACTGTCATGGGGAGTGTCTATCTCTTCTACTTGCTGGAGATCATCATGTCCACTTATTATAGTCATTCACATGGGCCTGCTGTTAACGAGCATGTAAGAAATTAGATAATTTTTGCTCTAACATGCACAATAAGCTAACAAACCTAACAATCATAATTAACTAGCAAAACAGATGTGACAGACTCTGTATGCTGCAATAATGATAACATGACAATGATGATAAACGGCGAATTCTTTTAATTAGGACAACACCTTATAAACATTCAAAAAATGAATTACATCCTTCGGTATAATAAACAGTTCGTTTCTTATTAATGCGAATGGTACGTCTGATATAAAATGCGAATATATTTTCTTTGTTTACTTTTAGAATCAGTCACATATTCAGTATTCCATTGAAGAACCAAATGGAAATGATTACTATATGAGTAAGAAATCTAACTTCACTAGCGATACTTCTGAGAAACAGAAGAATGGGCATCTTCAAAATGGATCTACTTATAAGCAAAACGCAGTTAATGGAAATCTTGTGAGTTGATTATCCCACATCGTCTTCACACCTAAAGAGATTAAATTATAAATAATATGACAAAAGATATGACTTTAATTTTGACATCGTTAATTTTCCACATTTGGATAGTAATTGTATTGTATATTTATTGCCTCATTTATATGAGAGAATACATTTTAGTATACATGTGGTTTACATATAAAATATAAAATACAAGGATAAGATTAAATTATGTGATAAAAAAGTTGTTGTTTTGGAAAACATAAAAATAAAGTGATAGAGAAATTATGTGTCAAGCAGAGCCAACAGGTTGGCTCTGTGATTGTACATTTTGTGTACACATGATGATACAATTATTAACGTCTCACATGAAACATCTGAGAGACCTAAAACTTTCTTCATAATAACACCCATACTGTCACCACGACAGCCAAGGGCTTCAAATATGTTATGCCTATATGGTTCATACATAGGGCATCTTAATATAAAATGTTCAATTGTTTCAGTTTCACAGAGGTTACACAATATACGTAATACATCGTTTTGAACCATTGAAGTTGTTCGTATTTAATACATGGGCGTTACATATCAATTGCATCATAGTTTTACACTGGCTTTGACATTTAGGATATTTCTGACAAATCAACCACCATATGCAAGGTTTTAAGTCTGTGACATAGTCACGTAGGTATAAAAGTTTGCCATAACATGAGCATTGCAAGAAAAATTGCTTGACCTCGACGGATCTTACAGCATTGACAATTTGCAGTCTCCATGACCTCTTCGACGGAAGATATCCAGAGTCCAGCGCATTTTTAACCAGATTTTCAATTCCTAGCATTTTGGTCTTAAGGAAAATGCGCCGGATAGGAGAGAAAATATCGGCATGGTTGTCATAAGTGACATGAAACATCTTTACTAACCGTGTTATAGTTATATCCCTGTAAATATTATTAAACCTAAGTAAACTCCAGAGATACATCATCTGCAACACTGTAATATAGCCGTCTATTGACAACCATCCCAACGGCATCGTTGCACTAGGAGTGTCTATCTCTTCTACTTGCTGGAGATCATCATGTCCACTTATTATAGTCATTCACATGGGCCTGCTGTTAACGAGCATGTAAGAAATTAGATAATTTTTGCTCTAACATGCACAATAAGCTAACAAACCTAACAATCATAATTAACTAGCAAAACAGATGTGACAGACTCTGTATGCTGCAATAATGATAACATGACAATGATGATAAACGGCGAATTCTTTTAATTAGGACAACACCTTATAAACATTCAAAAAATGAATTACATCCTTCGGTATAATAAACAGTTCGTTTCTTATTAATGCGAATGGTACGTCTGATATAAAATGCGAATATATTTTCTTTGTTTACTTTTAGAATCAGTCACATATTCAGTATTCCATTGAAGAACCAAATGGAAATGATTACTATATGAGTAAGAAATCTAACTTCACTAGCGATACTTCTGAGAAACAGAAGAATGGGCATCTTCAAAATGGATCTACTTATAAGCAAAACGCAGTTAATGGAAATCTTGTGAGTTGATTATCCCACATCGTCTTCACACCTAAAGAGATTAAATTATAAATAATATGACAAAAGATATGACTTTAATTTTGACATCGTTAATTTTCCACATTTGGATAGTAATATTCCATTGAACCCGACATATGAAGTTAATGTATCCAATCTTATTAGATATAACACACGGGGGATAAGCAAAACGAGGGCGAAGCCACGGACTGCGACTCGCGTAATTCAAAACGAGGTTACAACGCATTATAGCTGAACAATGGCGGTAAGTCCAAACTTAATTTGGAAGGCATGTTAGGATTTGGGGTAGATTATTGGTTTGGATATTCTACAGAATAGCAAGTATGTTCCAGTCGGTGATCAACATATTCATACTCCATCTGCAATGGCATTCTTGGTGCTCGGCTGTCCAATAGTTTAGCATGAACACAAATGAATTCGAAATCTGCCACAAAAAATGTAATTTTGTCAATATTTGTCCCTAATATACCGATTTAAACAAAGGAATCAGAAATGACATCGAATTAATATAATTATTCATGTTCTGTTGTTACAATTACATCTTCGTGTGATATTTGGTAAGCGAGAAACGTACAATTACATAGAAAATTGGAATTTATAATAGTCGCAGTCCATCCATCTGCCCAACGCAGTCCGCGACTCAGTGTTGCTTTATATCTGAAGCTGAACGCAATCACAGCCAAAGGTAGATAGCACAATGTGTGTACAGGTGTGGCCGAAATGGAGCAACTTTGGACAAAATTGAATATAAAGGGCTATTTTAATAGACCTACATCGTGTCTCAATCCATTCTGCAAATATATACAAGCTGTCAAATACAGCTGAAATCATGAATTTATGGTAGCTAGCAATATTGATGGACTGTTGGAAAGATCATCCAAAATTACATTAACTCACCAACTCTCCAATTATTTGATATTTTCCTGATATCTTAAATACTAGTTAAATGTACCCTTCCCCAACAGCTTTTATTGCATCATCAAAAAGTTAATTGTTTCGCATTTCTACTTCTTATAAAAAGTCTCACCACTATCCAATTATCTATATATTTAACCCTATCCACAAATTGGTTTGTAATAAACATATTACGTTGTCATCTTGCGCTCGACTGTTCTGCCAAATACGCTATTGAATTGCCATATTTCTAGGTCTTAAACGATACAATATAGCAATGTGGGACATTGATTCAGGTAATAGATATATGTTAATCAACGTAACTTTGAATGATAATCTGGATGCTGACTTTCTTTTCCTGAAACAATAATAGCGTAGGAATAAAGTTTACACTATCTTATTTATTTCGTGTTCGCGGCTGGACTGCGTTACTTAGAATATCAATGGAGGCTGTGTTGCGTTGTTGAAATAGCTTTGTTTACTGGACTGCGTCCACTATGAATGCGCAGTTTGAATCTAATTTTCTCCTCATGAACACATTCTATTATCAAATCATTTTCACGAATTATACTCGGAGCCTCAACTAACCTTTAGATATCAGAAACGTGTTAAAACTCCTTTCAAATGTATAGTAAATTAAATAATATGCACATATTTTACAGGTAAAATCAGAACTTTGCTACTGTTTTTAGCTTGATCTGGACAACTGCTTATTTTCTTATCTACAGACCAACAGTAGATACAGAGTAATATCTTGGTCACCGATTAGACACTACGATAGCATTTAAAATACATGGATTTCTCTATTTTGTCGGAAGAAGCAGAAGGCACTGCCGGATGTCCCTCCATTTTGGCGCTGGGCTGCGGTGTAAAGTTACGCGAGTCGCAGTCCGTGGCTTCGCCCTCGTTTTGCTTATCCCCCGTGTAACAGGGAGTGTTCAAAATGTATAGATTTGAAATTAAGACACCATATTTTAGTGGTCAAACGGTTAGGTCAAGGTTATACTTGTAAAAAGCTAAGAAAACTTTTCTGGGATTTGCTGAAAAATACAGGTCCTTAATTACAAAGTTTAAAGTTTTACCACTGGAGAAGTGGATGATGTTGGAATTGTTTAGGAAATTGGAATTGAACTCACAATATTTTCACTTGGCACCTTATATGGTAAATCCAGGTGTAAAAGGGTTGGAGGTCCTATCAACTTACTCTCCATTGATTTTATATGGTGACCTCGTTCCCTCATTATCTTATACACAACCAGGGCCAGTAAGGGCCGTTAAGAAGGGGGACCATAATCCCTGGGGGACCATAATTTCTTTCACACCTGCTATGGCATTTGTGGTTGAGAAATAGGGATCGAAACCTGCCATAGTTTTCTCCTGACAACCATTGGCTATTGTGAATTATTGAGATTTATGGATTATGACGATGGCTCTGCGAATGGATGTTGATCATTTGAATTGCCTATGGATTTCGAGACTTGAATTGTCAATCCAACATCATTTGAGACTGAGTGCTGTATCTTTTATGAGTACTAATATCTACACCCCCAATCCGCAATCAAATTATCAGTGCAAAGTTAGTACTGATTTAGTGTGGAATTAGCGTTAAACTGTCTATTTTTGATGTTATGAGTATTGGCCACAATTTTTTCAATTTTTTCTTCAATATGTGTTGCAATGACTTCAGTATGATTGAAATGTCCCTGGTGTTATGGTCTTAGATTGTGATATTGGCGCCCGATTGGAGGGGGAAAGGGTGTTAGACATTATTTCTGTTCACGTTAGATCATGGTTTCTTATGACAGGTTTACACTTTAGAGTTTGCCTTTGTTGCTAGGTACTTTACAGTATTTTATTCCTTTCCCTTTGGCATTTGTGCTTAGATATTCATATTCTAATTTTTAAAAAGTAGAATTGGGAACCTCTGATGTTTTTCATTATTTTTTTCAATTATTATCCCAACATGTGTTTAAGACACGAAAACTATCTTAATTTCCATCTTATCAACCTATTATTACTTTCCAGGTATCAACCGTAAGTTCGACATCATTGGCATCTCAGATGTCAGTCGCGTCTACAAAGGCTCTGGTGGAGAAAGAAAATAAAAGTGCGTAGGTTGTGCAAATTAAAACAATATGCAATGATAATAAGAAAAGACAAGATAAGAAAACCATAACAAATAAGATACTGATATGTCGTGTCTGTAAACAGAAATGATATTAGCGATCGGGGTTTTATGATCATGGGCCAGAAATAACCTGTGTAACGGGAATAAATGAAACTTTCCTTTCGCATATTTGTAGCTAATACAACTTTATCTATAGTTGGGGGTTTGTTTTCTTTATAACTTGTGATTTTTCTTTTTCTTGACATATTCTGGAATAATTTTTGGTCATTTTCCTTTAGCACTTTGCTTGTATATTTATGTTTTAAGGTATCATCACCCCTCTTGCTCTCATGATCACTGCTGGAGATGCTATCCATAACTTTGCTGATGGACTGGCAGTTGGAGCGGCTTTCAGTATTGATGTAAACAGTGGCATTTCAACCTCAATAGCAATCCTTTGCCATGAAATACCCCATGAATTTGGTAAGTTAAGAGAGTTAATATTTCATATTAATTACTTGATGATTATGTCTCATACCAGAATTTTACAGTTCTATGAGCATATCTTCCAAACTGCCTAACCCAAAAAACAGAAAACATGACGCACACAGACAAAAAATGGCCATAAGTTAGTTTTCAACAATACTGTTTCTTTTCTGTCCATAAATACAGTGTTTTTTATAAAACAATATATTTTCTTTCAAGTGAAGTTCCCATGATAGTAAAATATCAGTCAACCTCTGAAAAATTATGGTTTAGGACCCCCTATGGGCACTATTTAAAAATGTTTTAAAAAGGTGAGAGGATCTTGTTTTTCTCGATATTAACAACTTCTGAAAAGGGGATTGGTATTGAAATGCGTTAAAGTTAAAAACAACATATCCCATGTTATTTTCCCATAGGGAAAACTCGTGCATTGTTTTCAGCATAATTTTGGTCTTCGAAAATTGATATCTTCAAAACTAGACTTTCAATACCATTCTACTTTTGAAGAAGTTTTAGACCCCTTTTTGAATATAATCTTTTCATGCAATAAAAATCAGAAAAAGGAGATCCTCTGTTGAGCAAATAGGTTCAACATTTTGAAAAAATTGTTGACATATTAATAATTTTTCGAAATGTTCGATTGATATTTTTATCATCATGGGTCCTTCACTTGAAACAAAACATATTGTTATATAAAAATTATTTATGCCCAGAAAGTAGAGGTGTCAAGTATTAACCGGTTAACCGGTTAACCGCCGATAATGCCTTAACCGGTCTGTGTTTTTATGGGTGGTTAGTTGACTGTGTATAATTCTGTTATTTCCCGCGCTAATATTGCATGCTCATCTGTTTGGTTTTAAAGTGTCAGTTTCACGTAAGCTACTCATACATGTCATAAGTCCGATAACTCCTTACAAAAATCCAATCAGCACCTTTAATCCCTGCCACATTGCTTTCCCGCGCTTACTTTGCATGTTAATCTGTTTGTTTTTCAAGTGTCAGTTTCATGTGAGCTACTCATACATGTGATAGTTCCGATCACTCCTTACAAACATCCAATCAGCACCTTTAATCCCTGCCACATTGCTTTCCCGCACTTACTTTGCATGTTAATCTGTTTGTTTTTCAAGTGTCAGCCATGTGTAATCAACTCATATTGCAAAACTATTTCACAAATAAATTATATGCATATGCATTTTTTAATTCTTCAGTTTTGTTATTATTGTTGTCTATCAACGTCGCCAAAATGTCAAAGGTCAAAGCCTCGCTTTGGTAGTGAGAAAATTAAAATCAAAATAAACACTAATCAGCTGCAATTCTCGTTGTTATGGTGCGTTCGTGGAGATTCCAAGGGTAAACCAGTGTGGTAATTTAGAGGTACCGGTAGTCAGGTAGTGTATGAACAGAATAGAGTAAAGCTTTCAACTTTCAAGATCGAAGATGAAGATTTCATTTGAAATTATCAGTTCAAATTTCCCGCCGGTTAACCGACTTTAACCGGTAAAAACATCCGGTTAACCGGTTAATGCTCAAGCAGTTAATTGACACCACTACCAGAAAGTACTCATGGTGAAAGATATGGACTGTCTAAAATCACTTGCCAAACTGCACCCGGACCTTGCTACTATTACAGAATAATTATGTTCTACAGACAACATTAGATGTTTATCTCTTGCATAAGGTTATATTAAAAATCACACTGTGCCAAAAAGTCTGATCAGAAAATTGTACTGCGGTATTGTCAACATAAAATAATGTTGAACATATTTATATCTAATGTATCATACTAACATACGTGTATATTTCAACAAAATCCTAGAAATACTTTCATTTGTTACTCATCCTTTTGGTGGTCTTAAACCAGTTTTCCTAGTCTTGTTTATACAAGGCTACAGTTTTCCTAGCGGAATATATAAACTCCTCAATCAGAAATAAAAATCTAATTTGATATGATAAACACGATATTCAGAATGACCTACATTATATTTGTCCTCAGCATATACCAGTAATTGTGTATTTTAGGTGATTTTGCTGCTTTGCTGTCAACAGGGATGAGCTATAAAAAGGCAATAGTAATAACCTTATTGGCACAAACGACAGCATTTGTTGGCTTGTACATCGGAATAGCCATAGGACAACAGGCAAACGCTAGACAGTGGATATTCGCAGTGACATCAGGAATATTTCTATACGTTTCACTGGCAGAGCTGGTGAGAACATTTTCTTTCAAAATCATAAGCAAACAGAGGGATTGTTATTCATTTCTTGATTCAATGAAATAAATATGATGTTTATTTGTACATGGTGTTTTTATGAATGAAACCAATTAGTGAAACTAAAGAAAGAATAATCGCTTTATTTACTGATTATTAAAAACTACTATTACAAGTGATTGGTTTTGTATTTCCAGCTGCCAGAACTTGTTAACTACTACAAGCATTTAAAAAACCGATGCGCTGTTTTGATTTGTGAAAACCTTGGTATCCTTCTTGGCACAACTATTTTACTGCTTATCGCAATCTTTGAAGAGCACATCAGAGTATGACATCTTGCAAATTATGCGAAAACAGTGGACACAATGAATGATAAAAGATGACTGTACACGGTTATAGTATGTAACCATTTGGATAACGATCATGTTAATGTGCAGGATATCATGGAAGTCTGTATATTATACTAGTTGACTTTATATTGAACAGTAATTTTATTACCATTAATATAAAAGTATGTTTTGTATTTTTAAAACTGTACGTCTTCAAAAAGTGTAAATGCGAAAATGATGTAAGATGAAATTAATAAACTGTACACTGCAACTTGGTATATAACGATTTGTTATTACTTGAAAATATGTGATAGATTGAACTGAGTTAATTGATATTTTCACGTTGTTATACCGAGTCCTTGATATTTTGTTGGATAGTAGGTATCTCACTCAAGTGACTTACGTTGCAGCAACGCTAACAAAAGAAGTTTTATTTTAAATAATAGGCTCTTATTATTTCAAATACATTCAAATACATTTAAACTTTACAAAAACAATCAATGTTCTTTCTATTTACAAAAATTGTAAACGTCATTAAACATTCAATCAAGGGGAACTGCACTGCACTAGAATGTCTTTGATTGAACCTCCCCTAATTGTATCATTATCAGCAGTTTGTATACATATCCCTGATAGTCTTAAAAGTGTGGTCACATCAATTCGTTTTTTGTCTTAATTTTGAGAAATGAAATTCAATTCCCTGTCATTCCATTGTGTGCTCTTTCATTAGATCTTCAGATACACAGTGGTTTCGTCCTTTAATCTTTTCTCGAAAGCACAGAATGAAGCAAACCAAGAATTAGAAATCTATTTCTAGATGCTCAAACAATTGATAGTGATACTCGCTCTACGTGTTTCCCAGCACGTCTATATCTAAGTCGTTGCTAGAACGATACACCCAAATAATATGAATTGTCACCAAGGACTACTGAACCAGCTCCTTGTGCAAACGGTGTGTAGTATTGTAATGATATTTTAGTATTATATAAATGTGTCCCTGTGTTTCTGTGTCTGCTATTTTGCATTAATATGGACCATGTGTTATGGTCTGGGTTGACAGCTACATTCATCGATTCGTGAATACTGAAATTAAATTTAAATATGCAATTAGGCTTTTGAAACATCCTTAAGGTTCTTTTCTAGTGTACTCATTTTAATCGGAATAACGATGTAACGTCATCATTAATCACTTTTTACTGACTATGACTGTCAACCTGTTGCCCCCCCCCCTACCCCCCCCCCCCCCCCCATTCCATCAATGATTCGATTGGTAATTGACACATGTTGTTTTTCGGAGAGTTGTCACATGCCAACCCCCCCCCCCCCCATTCCATTCCATCCAGTTATCAGACTAATGCTACTTACCACAGTATTGATCGTGGTGCCATTTACACAGTTGAGAACAACAGGTGCTTCTTCAAAGTAGGATTTAGGATGACAACATTCACCAATGTAGTCTCCACACCCTCCTGCACATCTGTCTACCTGAACTTGGTCACTAGATGTGCATTGTTTGTCCTCACTTTCAATGACCTGCCAGTGCACGGCGTTGGAGCATTCTAAAGGCTCGTCGGGAATGTTATCAACTATGATAATAAAAGGATAATATAACATTTAGAAACAATATTACAGGAGTCAGGTGAAAATAAATTAATATATGATCGTATCTTACTATCCATCGATTGGCCTAGTGTTTCGTTGCAAATACCTCTTTTAGAAGAGGGTAAAAAATCACATTTAGCTATGTGATTTCAAAAAATTATTTTCTTGAAAAACAAAACAATGTGGGGAATATATTGTTTTGGAAATGTCATTACGTACGAGGAGTGATCATAACGCTTATAATAGCTCTCAAATTCAAAGAATATGAACTATGATTTCCATATGTTGGGTATGAATAAAAATCTGTAAAAGTATCTAAAAATAGTAGCCATGAGCATTCTGAAAGAGGGCCACGTCAGGATTAAACTGAAATATGATTTCATAAAACTACTCACGATCACAATGTCCTCTGTTGATGAGGTGATATTCATGATCGTTGTTCAGGCAAGCCATTCTCTTTAATTGGCATTCATTGACGAACTCATTTATCTCGTTTACCACTTTTCCACAGACAATGTCCACTTCTGCAAGAGCAATTTACTTTTAGAAATATGTAGTTCACCACATGATTTCACAAATGAGTGAGATTTAGCAAAAGCATCTACATACAACATGTCAACGTCATCAAATGATAACACCGTTCTTACCTAGCGAGCGACAGTATTCTATTGTCCTACACTTGCACACAGGTTCATTGCTAACATTGAAGCAACGAGATTCAACTATGTCGCTACAGTCCTTGCCTGCACATACTGAATCTGCAAGAGAACAATACACAAAATACATTTACTACTTAACTTTAGGTCAATAGCTTCCCTCAATGATGCATTGCATCGTGGTTCGACTTACAGTTATCAGCTCCCTTAATTGACATGGCCGCAGATTACGAGCTAAGTGGACAGGCATAAAGTGTTGTTCTTAAAACTTCTGTTTGCAATTAATAAATTGTGCTTACCATCTTCGCAAATATCTTCAAAACATTGTCTTCTGTCGTAAAGATCATGCTGGCTGAGTGTTCTACCTCCATTTTCGCCTTGGCGTATCAATTCACGTGTTCTCATTTCTACACCCTCCCCACACGTGACACTGCAGCTTCCCCACTCGGTCCACTCTGTGGCTTCATAATCTAAAACAGTAATTTTGGACTGGGTGCCTGTCTCATTTATGATTTACTAATTTCTGAGATTGAATACCGGTGAAACAACAGTCCGTCAGTGTCAAAGAAAAGTCTAATCTTGGAGCTCCCTATGATTTGTCGTTCAACGTGAAAACATTCAATATCATGTTTTAACTAAATAATATAATGCTAAGCATAAATATTGTACCTATTTTTGGTTTACATTCTCCCGAATGTTTAACACCATCTGGCTTGTATAGGTGGCATGCGTGAAGCTTCAGTTGGCATTTGTTGGCATAAGTCGTCCCAGATAAACTACACACCTCACCTTTAAAATGCCAGCTTATACATTATATAAAGGTAGGGTCCGTAGATAATAAAATTATAATTTCTTTATATATTATAATGGTCCATATGTCGTTGGAATGTTTTGTTATTAACCTATATGGAATTTATGAATTAGACTTAATTGCATAAATATGTAATGCCATTATTGGTTGCGTAATCGTTGAAAGAAAAGTACCTGATGTTTTTTCTTCCTCGGTACACTCTGGGCAAACGCATTCGGGAGTGCCCCCTATCTCTTTGCAGATGTGTCCAGTTGGACAAACTACCGTATCACAAGTACCTTAACGATATAAATAGACACTCATATAGTTATAATAAGAATGGTGCAAATTATGAAGATGAATTAAGGAAAATCAATTCTCACTTATCCATGTATCATTTTATTTTAATACTTTCAAATTCATCGTCGCCTTAAGCTTGTGATAACACATTAAACAACAAGAACCAACTAACAACATTCACATACTTGAACATGGTCCATAATACTTGATGAATATTGGGCTATCTTGTTCACACGATGCATTAAACAGAGCTAGTCCTGATTCGTATGTCTGTCCATCATGTCCACAGATCATTCTTTCATCATCGCATCTTGAACCCCAGTTACATCTGCATTCACACGTTGGACCTTCATCTGTGACTATACACTGTTCGAATTGTCTACACGGAGTTGTCTCACACAATCCTAGAATATATACAAATATAAATGAAGGTGACCTCCATACTTTTTCAATTACACACATTAACTTATTGTTTGACTACTCCCTCATCTTGCCAGCTAATATCCTAGATGCGAGTTGAAATAATCTTGATTTACGTCATTAAAAATTCACAATTCAGTCAAACTGATGTCATATTTGGAATATACATGTAAAATCACATTTAGAAATGTGGTTTTGAAAAGAGTTTATCAACTTTGAAAATTTAATTTTCTTTGAAAATGTGACTTCTAGGTCGGGGAGATACCCCATAGACCCCATGTTGTAAAACCACAAAAAGTGAAATATATTTTCTTGTGTTGGGCAGATAATATTTTCATTTACTGGACATATTTTAATTTGGATAACTATCACATACATAAGGGTAATATGAAAAGTGAACCACTAAAACTGATGAATATTCAGGTTTACAGGAATTTTGTAATACCCTGCCATGTTATTTCCCCCGTATCAGCCACCTGGTGGCGAAACTGGTAACTACCTACTCGGATCTGAGTAATTGACTCCACCTATTGATGTTCAGTGATCATTTGTACATATATATCGCTTGCAAATCAACTTTCATATACTGAGTCACATATTCTATGAAAGAGAGGATAACTGCAAAGTTTAAAAAATTAATTCAAGGAAGATCATAACTTTTTTGTTATATTGCCCTTTGCGTACTATGAGCAGATATCATTAAACTGAAATTCATTTCTTACCAAGACAAGAGAACCCATTCCCTGTAAAGTGTTCTTTACACGTGCATTCGTATGACCCCTCTGTATTATGACAGTCAGCATTTGGAGAACACTTATGTAGATTTCTTGTACACTCATTCATATCTGAAAGTAGAACAATGAGCTCTCATACTCGTATTTGAGTATTCTAATAACGAGAATAGATTTGTTGTTTTATTCTAGTTGTCCGGATTCATTTTTGTATATGTATCAATTGGATTTGAATTACCTTGACATATCCTATCAATCAAAATATATCCTGGGTCACACTGGCATTCAACACCTCCTGGTAGATTAACACATGACGAATGGGAACCACAGGTATAGCCATTCTCAATGCATTCATTGATATCTGTTTTTATAATAAAACGAAAAACATTATTGATAATTAAAATTGATTTATTTTTTATGAGGAATAATCGTATTACACAGTATCTCAGATCAGAATGCCCTTCGAGTGATTTGACAAATGAGTTTAAAACAAGATATACGTGTGAAGATGCATCATCAATGACTGCAACTTGAACTAAATTCTTACCTTCACAAACGCCGTGAGTGTTGTTGTATTTAAATACTTTCTTATAGCCTGTCCTACATTCACATGAGTATGAAGGTTCTACATTTGTACATATTGAACTATCTCTAGGTCCGCACATAGTAGGGTTCAGCATGCATTCGTTTTCATCTGTTTAAACATCAAAACAGAAAAGTATACTAGCAGCCTATACTTGAGCTAATTGATGATCTCTTTCAAACTTTGAGAATATGGTAGTGTGAGTTACACAGCTTCTTTGGTGAAGTAATCAAAAGTTAAAAGTGAAAAGCATAAGAGACACATATAGAAAACAGAAATATATGAATGTGTCAGCACAAAAGCACAATGATGGCTAATCCTCTTACCTTCACAAGTCTTTCCATTGCCTATATATCCTACTTTACACTGACATATGTATGATCCTGGGGTGTTGTGACAATCTGCTAATGCACTACAGTCATTGCTCTCGCATTCATCTATATCAACACACTTTCCATCCACCTTTTTGTAACCAGTCTTACAAATGCAACTAAAGTGAATAAAGTGATAATTTATGCTCAGTTACAGAAAAGAAGTACTTTAGAAATTGAAATATGTTAAACCAGAGGTGGATCATGATTGTAAATGATATTAACAGGTAAACTTATTTCTGTTAATCAATATCTTAAAAAACTCATAGCGTCTTAGATTTCAAGCGCTTATAAATAATAAATAAAAAAACTGAGCTAAAGAAAAGTGAATACTCCAACGTATCATATGTTAAGTACTGTTAATTATTGAGCATATGAAAACATGAATTTTACTATAGTATATACTATATTAAGTACATACTTTTGGTTAAATCACACAATAGACAGATTTAGTTACCTGTAACTTCCTTCAGTGTTTTCACAGGTTGACTCGACACCACAGGTTGGTGCATTAGCATCAGTAGGTGGCAGCATACACTCATCAATATCTTTAAGAAACATTTCGAAATTTTGAAATAAAACAATTTTTTGTGCAACTGACCATAACATCGTACTTCAAACTAATTGTAATTACTTTAAAAGTATTATTTGAACTAACCTCTGCAGTCTGAGAACCTGTATTCATAGCCAGGTTCACAGATACATTTATATGATCCTACTGTATTCAGGCATTTTGAGGGGCAGTATTGGTATTCTGTATCTGCACACTCATCAACATCTGCAAATCAATTTCATCAAGTCAATATTGTTAAACTAACTTCATTTAACAAAGAATGGGTCTGAATTAAGATTCTGACGGAATTTAAAATGAAAATGCAAGTGTAAAATGTTTTATGGTTCCTAGTTCGTACAATACAATTATTTTCGATACCAGTGTGTCGTATGTTGCTTGGTTCATATGTACCTGCACATGTGTTTTTATCTTGCAAGTCCCACAAAAAGCCTGGATTACATGTGCATCTGTAAGATCCAATTGTGTTGGTGCATTGAGCGTTCTCCGAACATCCATCTGGACGCTCAACACATTCATTCATGTCTGAAATGTACATATGAAATATTTACATCAATTAGTTAACATTGATATTCTGAATGAGCTTTGGACAGTTACTATTCATATTATGAATATTCATACAGTCATATTGAATTCCTTTAATGCTTAATTATTTTTTATTCACTGACCAATACAAGCTGTTCCTCTTGTTCGATACCCAGCCGGGCACACACATTCAAACGAACCCTCAGTATCTATGCATGTTGCCAGTTCGTCACATAGTTCTAATTTACATTCATTATCATCTGAAATTTTTGAAAAAATGTGTTATAAAGATCTAGCTAATTAAATATCACAAATAATTATTTTTATAAATTATTCTTTAAACGGTTGTTTAAATTAGTGGGCATAGGTGGCAAAAAACTCAAATAAGTTTTAAATTACAAGATTATTTGACATTATTTGGTGTCAACTCAGTATACATACCATAGCAAGCATTAGCAATGTTTATCTGACCATTTGGACAATCGCAGGTGTATGAACCAACTGTATTAGTACATCCCAAGGATCCACATGGGCTTGATAAACATTCATTGTTATCTATGAAATCAATAACACTATCAATAAAAGTGATATTATACATAAAGTCATCTTGGCACTTCATATAAACGGTGGAATAATTGGATTCATGTTCAGCCTGCTTGAATTGTGCACTAATCATATAGTTTATGATTTAACACTCTGGCCTAATTTGCATTCAAACAATAACCAAAGGCAACACTTAAAAAGAGCAATTCCGATAAAGCATTCACATATTATCTGATAAATCTGATGAAAAAAAACGTTTAAAATTGTTGATCAAACTTTGTAACTTACCAGTGCATGTATATCCATCGCCACTAAATCCCTGGCGACAAATGCAAACATACGATTTGTATACATTGTTGCAACTGGCATATTCTGAGCATTCTGCCACCCCACTTTCACATTCGTTTATATCTGGGAAATTAACACATTGTGTTATAACATGATCATCATGTAGACACCTATAGCACCTATAGCAGCCTGTAGAAATGTCAAAATAATTTCTCAAACGTTTCATTGAAGAATGTTTTACTTTTTTATCGCTTACCAACACATTCAGATCCATTCCATTCCAGACCATCTTCACATGGGCATCTATAACCTCCTATTTCATTGGTACATTCCCCTTCACAGTTATGGAGTCCTTCATCACACTCATCGATATCTAAACATGTGTATGTTAATTTGTGTTACAGTAGTAATACACCCAGAAATTTTGGGCCCAAAAATTATAGGGCCCAAAAAATTTGTAGGGCCTTAATTAGCCTTTTTGGTCATAACTTGCCCCTTTGGGCCTTTTTAGGCCAGATAATCAAAAAAGGCACCACAAATTTTCAAAAAACAAATTCAGCTTTTGGATGTGAAATGCCCCCCCCCTGTTAGCTTCTGGATCTGCTAGTGTAGCACGTTGCTAATTGTGCTCAGGAATTTACCTGTGCATGATTCGTAGCCATCACCTCTGAAGCCATCAGGGCATCTGCAGTAGAAACTCTTGGGTGTATTTAAGCACTCTGCATTGACTGTGCAGTTGTCTAAGCCTCTCTCACATTCATCTATCTGTTTGAAATAAATACATATCAATGGTTTAGTAGGTCAAAAATAAAGTGAGAAAATGTTTACTCTTCAATCATTTTCTTCATAATCTAACAATTAGAGTGAATTATATAAAACTTACTGGGTTACATGCCAATCCATCTCCCTCGGTGCCTGATCGGCAGTAACAAGTAAAACTGCCTTCATTGTTTTCACAACCTCCAAATATTTTGTCACAGTTGTCCTCTCCAGTGGCACATTCATTTGTATCTTAACAATGAAATCAATGTAAAATTGAGTCAATGATTAGATAAACAGCTACCGTCCGATGTACAGCGGTTTTAGCAAAATAACTAAGATTCTAGACGAAGTGGACAGACCGCATTCATCACTTAAACTAATCTTAATCTAGTACTGGACTTAATTTAGCTTGTGTACTTACCTTGACATGGAGAACCGCCATTAGGACCACCTCCATAGTAGCCTGGATCGCACTGACATAGATATCCACCGTCTGTGTCTACACATGAAGATCTTGGACCACATACAGAACTAGTTGATTTACATTCATTGACATCTAAATTATAAATAAAATGTATCAGGGAAATTCTGACAATTAGATCAAGCATTCATTGTATTCATCGCATTCATCACACTGACATAGATATCCACCGTCTGTGTCTACACATGAAGATCTTGGACCACATACAGAACTAGTTGATTTACATTCATTGACATCTAAATTATAAATGAAATGTATCAGGGAAATTCTGACAATTAGATCAAGCATTCATTGTATATTCATAGATATCCACCGTCTGTGTCTACACATGTAGATCTTGGTCCACATACAGAACTAGTTGATTTACATTCATTGACATCTAAATTGTACATGAAACATATATAAGAGAAATTCTGGCAATTAGATCATTCACATACGGTATAATAGAAACTATTTTAAACTATACTGTATACAAGAAAACATTAATTTTGTCATTTGTATAAATACAACATCTTACTTGTACATCCGGTATCAGCATCTCCTTCATATCCATTGTGGCATGTGCATTGTTCAGTTGAGTCGTCTACTTTAACACAAGCAGCATTGTCACCACATGTCTTTGTTGATCCTTCATCACATGTATCTATTTCTGAAAGAATATTCTTAACCATTTAGTTTCTAATGTTCCAATTGATCAATTTATTTTATATTTGAACCGTTATTATAATACAACAATAAATATAATTACTATAGAAACGAGATCAAAACATAAGTTGGCAATATTTCAAAGGCTTGTCAACAAACATTTGAACATGCCAAGCTGAATCACATTTGAGGAGTGAAACATTTTAGCAGAACTTAAGAAAACTGTTCAGTTAGAATATTCAACATGGCTTATGCATGCCTCTGTTTAAAACTTGAAACCATCTGGCATCTGCGCAAATCGGAGGGAAATCCGATTAATGGTTTTACATGGAATAGTGATGAGAAAAATGTCAATGTCAAAAATGACCCAAATTTTTTAATATAACAATGTAAGACGAGCACCCCAAAGTTAATCAGTTAAAAGGCTGTAAAGGTTCTGTATTTGTTCATAATATTACGAGGATATACTATTGATATTTTCAATCTATTGATAAATCCGTCAAATAATGAACCACAAAACGTTTCTGTATAACAGTCTGTATATACAAATGTACCATAATAAAGACTCATAGTCATTATCAATAGAAAGCAAACGGTTTCTTAAACTTACCAGTACAGTATATTCCATCTCCTGTGTAGCCATTGGCACATGTGCATGTGCAACTTCCTGGTACATTGCTACATTCAGCAAATTCATGGCAGGGATCTGTTTCGGTAGCACACTCATCAATATCTAGAATTGAATTAACGAATCATAACATGTTTAATTTTGCTTAAACTACTGTTGAATTTTTCCTCAAATTAATTCCTTTTCTGGATTAGAAATATGAAAATTTTAGTAGCTAATTTGAACTGAATAAATTGGTTTCAGCTTAGCTGGTACAATGGTTTGTTCTTGGTTTTGTCCTAACAGGTTCTATTGGCTAGGGCTGGACTAAAATTCGAACGGTGGTTGTGATAAAAGTTCTTTAACAGCAAGATACAGACATGGTTGCTTTGTGTTTAGATAACTATATTACCGGTTTTAATAGATGCATTCTTCGTAATGCCTTGGTCATATTTGCTTCGATTTTCACTACGGCGCCCGGCCGATTGAGTATTTTGTTCAACATTGAATACAATATTGAACAAAACACTCAATCGGCCGGGCGCCACCCGATGGATCGGAGCAAATGTGAACCAGGAATTAGTGTTTTTAATAGCTCTTAGATTTTCTTCTCATCTGGCCATTGGTTTTACAAATGATCAAATAAAATATTCAGATGGCATGGTGAATGGCAATCTCGGCAACCAATCAATATGTATTAAGATCGGTTTCATTCAGGTTCTGTCTGATGAAGAAATGAATATTAATTTGTTACCTTCACATGTTGTTCCATCCCCTGTGAATCCTGGCAGGCATTCACAATCGTAGGAACCAAATGTGTTAGCACAAGTGCTGTTGTCGGCACAATCATTCAACGCCTCATCTTCACACTCATCCACATCTATAACACAATGTATTCATAATTCAGTGTCATTAGTCTCTACAGCAAGCATTATATGCATACAATCAAAAATGCACAGCTCTACATACTACTTCACGATATTAGGAATAATGTTAGAAATTTTTCAATTTTAACAGGTTTTTAATTTGCGCTTGATTGTAAAATGCTTACGGTTATGTTTGATTGCAACATGTAACATTAACTGTATTGTTCACACAAGATATGATATATATATTTGTCACATTATTCATAAAATCAATCCCTTACCACTACATTCTATTGTGCCATTAACATGTACATGACCAACTTTGCACTGGCACTCGTAAGAGCCCTCTGTATTAACACACTCGCTCGAATCATCATCACATTGAGAGGTGCCTTCTTGACACTCATCAATATCTAAGAAATAATAAAAGAAAACATATAAATAACACTGATCAACTAATAATAGTCCATGTGTATTAAATGTGTTTTCATATAACCATAATTCCATGAATGGAAGGTTAGATAATAATATTCACATTTTGAAATGATAAATGATGGACATTCATGTGTTCCTCCTAAGGTTGATTAACTTAGTAATAAATGCCGCAGTATATCTATTTGTTTTAAAATGTCTCTCGGTTTTTGTCATTTGTGATTCTACAGTGATTTTGTCAACTATCAATATATGGTACAGGAAGAACTAGTTATATTTTCAAAAATGTTCATTTTATCCTACCTGTACACGTTTGGCCATCTCCGGTGTAACCTGGCTGACATTTACAGGTGTGGCCATCTACGGTTACCTCACAGTCAGCATTTCCATCACATGTGTTACCGCCTTCAGCACCACCTGCACTATCACACTCACTGGGTGGACCTAACATACTCAATCAGTTTAGTTATATGTATATCTAGTAATTGTGATACATGGTTCGTATTGTTCATTTAGACAGTAGTGTTGATTGCTTTTATTTTGAAAGTACATGTAATTCATTAAAAAATATGGTGAACAATTCTAAAAACTGATATTCTGCATTTCAACACACCTGGACATGTGCATCCGTCAATTGGTTCTCCAACCATACAAGTGCATTCATAGCTGCTTGGTGTGTTTGTGCAACCAGAACCAGGGCCAGCACAGCAGTTGTCACCACCGCCGTCTGATGAAGGATCACACTCGTCGATGTCTAGAAAAGTGAAAGCATGTATGTACTGTTATTTGAATAATCCCAAACTGAATTGAAACAATGCCATTATCTAATATAAATTACACGGGACTCTAAAATGATTATCAAAAGCATATCTATGAAAAGTATCTTTACCTGTACATTCAGTCTCTGGATCTCCTTGGAAACCATCTTTACAAACACATTCAGCGCCACCTAGCGTGTTGTTACATCTTGCATTGATTCCGTCACAAGTTAGGCTACCGTCGTTGCACTCGTCAATATCTGCAAGCATACCACAATTTATGTATCACAATTTTCAACTGAACGTGGACACCTCATATCTTTTTCCTGATTACCTTTTGATATTCAAAAAAATCTTTTGATTATTTTGTCATGGCTTTGTTTCGTTAATCTAGTCCTGTTGTCCAGAATATACATGTCTTAGATTAGCACCTTTGAATTTAATTTAAATAATGCAGCATAATATTAATTACCGATACAAACAGATCCGGATTTTTCAGTTCCTGGGATACAGTCGCATACAGCAGCATCGTCAACAACTTTGCATATTTGTCCAGCTTTAGTGCACAATGTCGGGTCACTACATGGATTGTCCTCTGAAATATAAAACGTGTGAATAAATACGTTGGACGCTGGTACAATGTCAATTTACACGCATTTCCAATATATTTAAAGTTCACTCATCATACCGTCCTTTATTTGCATGTATTTGTTTTGCTTGATTTGTTTTCTCTTGCTTGTTCTGTTTTCAGTTCAACATGTTTTTTATTCTTACTTATGCATATGTCCACCCCATCTCCGATGAAACCTTCATTGCAAATACAATGGAACCCTGGTTCTTCATTGATACAGGTAGCATCTTCATGGCAATCATTCAGAGTATCATTGGCACATTCATCGATGTCTACACAGTCCTCATCATCGAAGAGAAGTCCTTCAAAATCACATATCTTATATATATAACACTATATTTTATGGTAATTCTTTTATACTTTCTTTGGTTACAACATATCAAGTATTCCTAAAATAACATGTTACCTTAATGCGATAGGTTTCGTTGTCTTGCTTGATTTTATAACTGATTTTATATTCAATTTACCTTTCAAACATTCGCAAGTGAAGCTTCCTTTCTTATTTTTACACAGCGTGTTTGATGAACAGTTAGCGGTTCCTAATGCACATTCGTCTACATCTGTAATACAATAAAGTACTTAATTATGTCTTTAAACGTATAGACATATAATGCATTATATTTATTTACCAAAAATGTTTCAGGAGACATCTTAAGGAACCTCATACCTGGTATATTGAAATTCAACTGGGATATTGATTTAATTTGGACAATTAATTGTCAAAATGACAAGACCCTGTGTAAAAATAGGTTACACTAACACTACAGGAACATGTGACAGTTTAATGGAACTTATGTCTAAACCTACCTTCACAGACAAGTCCTGATCCAGAATAACCAGGTTTACATTCACATGTGTAACCTCCTTCAGTATTCTTACACACTGCTTCCGGCGAACATGTGGTCGCAGCATCACCCGTACATTCATTGATATCTAACACATTATATAATACATTATTAAACTTTTAAAATACTTTAAAATTGTGTTACTGTTTTGGAGGACTGTATTGTTTTCGCTATTCTAATGTCGTCGTCGTACATTCTCACGATCAGTATCATTGTAGATTTTAATTTGTCAGCCGTACAGAGGACCTCAGTAGCAAATCTTCATTGATAACAGGATTTGACATCACAATTTAAGTATAGTTATAACAACAACGTTCCAAAGCTTTGTATGTATGTATAATGAAATAAGGCATGGTATATCAGTATATCAGGATCTGTAAATTGTAATTATTCTCACCAGGACATTCCGACCCAACTAACTCGAATCCATTCAGACAGTTGCATGTATATGAGCCTTCTGTGTTTGTACATTTTCCATGGGGTCCACATGCAGGTTTGTCATCAACGCCAGTAGCACATTCATTCACATCTACATAATGGAATATATTTAAATTAATCAAATTAAAATCCTAAAATAACATTTCAATTGAAGGATTTTCTTTGAAAGCATTACTATTGTATCTTCATCAATACAGTTGTATACTATACAGCTCATATTAATGAATATAAACGACACATTAAAAATTATTCAATCAAAGTGGTGGTTCTTTTCTTGGATGTTACTATGGTTACATACCTTTACAGTAGTACCCGTTTCCGTATGTACCAGGATTGCAATCGCATGTGTAGCTACCATCATTATTTGTACATGAAGCGAGTCTATGGCATATGTTATTGTCTGGTCTATCACATTCGTTTACATCTGAAATTATAATAGTTTATAATAATATGGCCTATTGATATGAGTTAATATTTTTTAAATTTAATTCATATTACTCTTCAACTGTCATTAATTGGAATGTTTGATTGGTTGTTGCAGTCATTTTACAGATGTAGTTTTGTTTATGTTTCTTTATTTCCTCCGTATTATTGGAGAGCAAAAACAATTGGTCTTTTATATGAGCCGTGTATCAACTTTGTAAACTAAGCCCATCTGGGCGTCAAAACGTGCCTAATATTATCTTATTCCAATATCCCGTCCAGATGTTTGTAATATAAACTTACCTCTTTATACATATTAATTTGGTATACTATCCCACACCGTCTGATATGCTTACCTACACATTCACCATTTTCCCGAAGGAATCCCGTCAAGCATCTGCATTCAAAGCCATATCTCTCTGAGCCAACACATTCCGCATTAAACCCACACCCTCCATTACATTCAGAGTCAGCTGAAAAACAAAGGCAAATATGCAGAAAGATGAACAATTAATTTATTAAACAAAACGTTGAACTGCATAAAAAAGTAGTGATTGTTTGAAAATTGTTCATTTTGCGATGGGTTATTTTGGGGTTGTTGGATGGGTTATTCTGGAATGTAGGAGATTTGTTTCTTTTTGACTAGTTGTAGTCCTAAATGAGTTTCTGTTCTTAATTAGTTTTGGTGAAAACCCCTATGGGACACGTTCCTCCATGTTACCATGTTTCACCTACCTATACATTCAACTCCATCTCCTTTAAATCCTTCTTTGCATTCACACTCAAAACTACCTTCATTGTTCTGGCATGTGGCATTTGTTGCATGACAGTTGTGAGTGTCCTTAGCACATTCATCATAGTCTAAAACAAAACAGCTCATGTACATCATATTTCGGAGTTGAATATCAGTTTTGCCCATTGATATTCATCTTTTTAAATTAAGACAAAGACAGAGTTAATAGCATCTCAAATATATATCTCACTGCATATGTTCTAAAACAGCGACAGCTGATATACAAGAACACAAATGTGTACAAAATGTCCCCACCAATGGGTGATCCCGTCTAATGGTTATCCTGAAAATGAGTAGACAAAGATTTAATTTGAGGATGGAAAATCCAAAATGGCCACCTTAAAATTTACCCAGAATGCCATGAAAATTTGAAATTGATCCGTCACACAGTTATTATAACCAGAAAACATGTAAACAAGACTTTACAGACAAGATTTTAGGATGGAAAATCCAAAATGGCTCCCTTGACATTTACCTAAAATGTCAAAAAACTAATCAGTTTGTAAATTTTCATACTAAAATTCATCCCTGAAAATCTGAAATTGATCTTCCAAACGGTTCACATGAAAACGCATAGACAAGACTTTACAAACAAGATTTTAGGACAGAAGATCCAAAATTGCTGCCTTGACATTAACGCAGAATGCCAAAAAACTAATCAGATGTAGATTTTCATACTAAGAATCATCCCTGAAAATTTGAAATTGATCTACCAAACCGTTCACCTTAAAATGCGTAGACAAGACTTTACAGGCTAGATTTTAAGACGGAAAATCCAAAATGGCTGCCTTTACATTTATCCATACTGCCAAAAAACTAATCAGATCTAGATTTTCATACTAAGAATCATCCCTGAAAATTTGAAATTGATCTACAGAATGGTTCACCTGGAAATGCATAGACAAGAATTTACAGACAAGATTTTAGGACGGAAAATCCAAAATGGCTGCCTTGACATTTACCCAGAATGCCAAAAAACTAATCAGTTCTAGATTTTCATACTAAGAATCACCCCTGAAAAATTAAAATTGATCTAAAAAACGGTTCATCTGAAAACGTGTAGACAAGACTTTACAGACAAGATTTTAGGACGGAAAATCCAAAATGGCTGCCTTGGCATTTACCCTGAATGCCAAAAAACTAATCAGATCTAGATTGTTATAGTAAGAGTCATCCCTGAAAATTTTAATTTGATCCACCAAACGGTTCACCTGAAAACGCGCAGACAAGACTTCACAGACAAGATTTTAGGACGGAAAAATCCAAAATGGCCGACAATAAAAAGGTGATTATGAGTTTTTGCTGATTTCCTTTTACAAAATTATCACATATAACTACTGTTAACAATAACATAGGCTTTTACTAGAAAGTACATCTGAAATTATTTATAAAGCTACTAAATAGTTAAAGTATGAAAACTCAAAAACACCATTCAATATGATACAAAGTATTATCGCGCGCTAACTTTTCTTCAGACATTCAAAATGGCTGCCATGACTGAGCTAACAGGTTCAAAACCTAATCAGATCTAGAATGAAGTGAGCTAAACAAGATATTAAAGTTTTAAAAGCAACTGTGAAGCCGTTTTTCTTAAAGTTTGCAGACAAGGATTTTAGCATTTGACTTCAAAATGGCCGACAGGAAGTAGGTTTCGAGTTAATTTTTTTTCATCCACATCTCTATGCACTCATAAGTTATCCCTGAAAATTTGAAGGTGATATCTGTAGCGGTTTTGGAGAAAACTCCCGGACGTACGGACGGACAGACGGACGGACGGACGTACAGACGGACGGACAGACGGACGGACGGACGCGCCTAGGACGACAATATGGCCCCACACTATGTGGTGGGGACATAAAAAATGAACTGATGTAGATACCATTTTCATTGTAACTGTGTACTCATGAAGTACTAAATGCTTACCCATGCATACTGTGCTCCCTGTAGCCTGAGGTATAAAGCCAGTCAAACAATCGCAACTATAGCCTCCATCGTAGTTAGAGCACATTGCATTAATACATCTGAGAAAACAAATCAAACTAGTTTCAAAAGTTATTAAAAACAATTGCGCTAAACATTGTTTTAAATAAAATGGATGATGGGCATTGTTAAAACCGAAATGTATGTTTACACAATCTTTCAAGTGTGATTATGTAATTTCACCCATATTGTTATATCCAACAAAATATATGCTTTCATCGTGTTTCGAAAACAACCATACGATTTGCCATACTTCGAATTCTTACTTGTAGAGGTTACCGTGATGTTGGATTATTCATACCTATGCTTCATGCTTCCTGTCTCAGTACATTCGTTTATGTCTACACACAGGTCGCCATCGCCTTTATATCCTGGTCGGCATCCGCAGTATACACGTGCATCTATAAACTGACATATAGAGTTGTCCCCACACCCACCGTTGTTCACAGGACATGGGTTCTCAACTGGAATGTGTAATTGTATTCTTCTAAAAACTTCACATTTTAAATATGAGTTACTAAATTAAAATAGTGTTTGCGGTCTTTATTTAAAATCTCTAGAAATGACTCTTACCATATGGAGCTTGACAAATGTTTTAAAATGCAAACCTACTTTTAGTGCATTCAAATCCGTCTCCTTCGTATCCAGGGTTACAGCTGCATGAGAATCCTCCAATCTCATTGGTACAATAAGCGCTGCTGTGACATCGATCGGGCTGTGCACATTCATTAAGATCTACAATGATTTGGAGGTATACATTAAGATGGTATTTCATCAAATCAAAGGTGCAACAAAGATCCGAGAAAAATTAATTTTATATTGGCCAAAAATCAACGATTTACTCACCACATAGTTTCCCATCCCCTACATAGCCATCTTGGCACGTGCAGTAGTAACTGCCTCTGGTGTTCGTGCAAATAGCTGCGTCCTGACAGGAGCCTGGAACCTCTTCGCACTCATTTATATCTATAATTAGAAATTAATATGGCACTATTATTATGCACCACTTTATATGGTTTATCATTTTGCCTTTGAATTTTGTATAATTGAAAGCTCAATTAAAGGGAAAGTATTTTTCCTCCTTGGCGCGCTATTTAGAACAATTGGGAAAATGTGAAATAGATAATTTGTTAATATTAAACAGGCAATGCGCCTATTTTTGAAGGAAAAAGGACAAAATATTATTTGAGACATGTCACTCACACAGTCAATCAAATATGATAAAAACTTTAATTTGGGATAATACTGAAGTGAAAAAAAAATCACTTGCATAGAAAACAGCATTTGAAGTTCAGAGATTGAAAAAAGTGAATTACCACTTTTCACAAAGTGTATGTTTTGAATAACTTTTGGATTAAAAGATGGCGTATGCTTGAAAATCCTGTCAAAACTGAATGGATAATTAATGCAAACAACAATGCCATCTTTCTATGGCATTGCTAAAAACCTGACATATATAATTGATAGATCAAAAATATTTTTTCATGAGCTAGTGTCAACTCTGATGAGGTCTGTTTGAGCTTTTTTTGGTGTCATATGAAAAATCAGGTGTTTATTAATCCATTGGAAATACTATGAAGATCAAAAATGAGACTTCATTTACGCACTTTGTCCCTTTAAGCTATGATTTACCTGTACAGGTGAGTATCCTGTTCATCTCGACAAGTTTATATCCCTCAGAGCAATTACATGTTGACTTGCTTGCATCAAACTCCCCAACGCCATTGCACGTTGGATCCACTGCAAAAATTCATCAGTTTAACGAACGATTCATCTTTATGAAATACATAACACATGCCAGGACAATAATACTTTTCTGTTCATCAGTTTCATATTTTAGACTAGCCAACCAGACTTGATTTTTTATCATTTTCCAGAAATGGCGAAAAAAGATTATGGTATTATAGGCAATAAAAACCGACCTTGTTTTTGACAGGATTTTCCGTCACCCTCGTAGCCAAGGTTGCATTGACAACTGTAACTACCCTCTGTGTTTGTACATTTAGCATGCTCGCTACATTCGTCCAATTCCTGATAGCATTCATCGACATCTGGAACAAACATATGAACATTTAAATGTATACGTGACGAACAGTGAAGGAACTCTGTGTAATACAACTAAGATAAATATGATTTTACAATTGGGCGCATGTGATGTACATTTCATTCTCGTCAAAAGTGATGTAGCTAAGGTTTTGACACGTGTCTGTTTGATCTGAGTTCTTACCTTCGCAGTTATAGTTGTCTATTGCTTGGAATCCTGTCTTGCAGGTACATTTATAACCTGGATTGTAATTTTGGCACTCTGTGTTATCACCACACTGGGATGACCCATCTGTACACTCATCTTTGTCTAGAAAAAGTTGACCATTATTATACAAGTACATCTGGCTACAGGTATTCAATTTTCAAACAAAATGGTTGATTTGAGTAGCTTATCTGCGACTAGTATTGCTCCTATTTTGTATTTGTTATTCAATGAGGAGTATTTTTGTTTTAGCATTTTTTCATTTTGCAAAAGTTTTGTTATCGTTGTATGTCTTGTTCAATTTTATTTCATGTGATTAGTAATACCTATACACCCTGACGTTGTTGCTCCATTAGTATAGCGACTGTCACAAGTACACACTTTTAAACCGTCCTTGAAAGAACATTTCTGAGCTAAGTTATCACAGACACAATCACTGTCTACCGGACCTGCAAAGTAACGTTAAATAACATTTAATGTTATACCTTTCACATGAACTTACTGAATATGATCTTTGGGCTAAAATTGAATTCCTTAGTGCCATGTTATTTTTATTCTTACAATTACTGTTGATTTTATGGGGGGTTCTTATATGGTAATAATGAAGGGATTATAAAGACAACACTCACCAAAACACAGGCCACTATCAGACGTGACATAGCCTGGTTTACAATCACAGGTGTAGCCTCCAATGTTATTATTACACACTTGTGTCTCTTCATCACATTTGGCTGTATCAGAGTCCTGTTTACACTCATCAATATCTGCAATGATAAACACCTTCTTTCACTATGTCTACAGTAATAGTATTGGTCTTCTTTAATTTTCTATCAACAAGACCTAAACCTAAACCCTACATCTCGTTAAGATACATGCACACGGCACATTGATAACTTACCAATACATTTGTCCCCATCCTCTGTGAATCCAGATTTGCATAAGCATCTATATCCTCCTGGTTTGTTAAAGCAGTCTGCTCCAGTTGGACAATTAGCTGTTCCAACATTACATTCGTCCACATCTGAAGAGAGAAAAGGAAAATATAAGGATTCGATGGTAAATGATTAGTACTTTAATTTTCAACTTGATTAATATGGTAGTATTCATAAGACTTAATATTACCTATACATGTCCCTGATACAAGTTGGTATCCCTCCATGCAGAAACATTCTGCTTCATTATTTTCCACTCTACACATGGTAGTAAGACCACAGTTACCTGGGCAGATGGGGTCTTCACCTAAATGTAATTATTATAGACATTGAGTGTGTGCATGTATGTTAGTGGTGTTTAACCGTTTTGTCTTTAATAAGATATTCAGCTCATTTATTGTATGAGGCAGTTAAAGTGTTCTTACGCTCTACACAGTTGGTTCCTTGTCTCTCAAAGTTTGGTTTGCAATAACACGATGCAGCGTTGTCTATTACCAAACAATATTCTGTATCCATGTTACATGTATCAGGTTTACATGATGGAATTTCTGAAATCATAAAAATAATTTATTGAATTTGTTTCTATTCCAATTGAGTTATAGAATAAACGTCTCAATGTATGCTCCTACAACAAATATTCAAAGGAGAATGAAGTGTAGGTCAGGTCAGAGTCCACAACTTTGCTGCATGTTGTACATATTTAAGATTATAACATACCTATGATGATGTATAGTGCAAAGTGTACACAAGACAGCGGGCCAATATAAGTTTTGAAAAGCCCGCGCCCGCTAACTTTCTGATTGGTCAAGGCGCTGACGTCATAACCAATCAATCGAAGATAAAACTGGGCGAGCAATTTTTCTAAACTCATTTCAATCATTTTCAAACCATTTGTTTGTCAATTCTATAAGAAAATGGTACTCTCTGACCAGTCTACAGTACATCAGCATAGGTATGTTATAAATCGTTTATGTCACTATCGTGGCACATATGCCCTCGGTTCTCAGAGATCAATGTCCCTCCCAAGGTCGGGCCATATATCACTGAGACCTCGGGCATATATGCCACGATAGTGACATAACCTCTAATTATAGTAAGGTATCAATATTTTATGACATACCAAGACATGCAGTTTCTCCATCAGATGCTAACCCAGTTCCATAATAGCCAACTGAACAAGAACATGTAGGTGGATCTGCGTTTCTATCACAGTGCGCATTTACTGAGCAGTTGAGTTGATCTGGTCCACATTCCGAATCAACTTAAAAAGATGATGAACAATGAATGAATATAACAAAGTTTTGCAAGTTTTGTAAATGGATTATAAGTTCATCTTGATTTACAAGTTCAATTCCATATTAGCAGTCAAATATGTCATAACTTGACTTAACTTAAATATTACTGGTATTGGTATCTGTTATACCCATGAATTTTTCCCTTTTGTACTCTACTTGCAAAGGCCTTTGCACTATGCTAGTTACTCATTACATACATCCCAGCTGAATCAGTTTGGGTTTATTATCCATATGCTTACACCATAATATTGTATTTAGAATATATTCACCTATTCCTTGACAGCTGTAGCCATTACCAGTGTACCCTTCAGGACATCTACACAAGTAGGAACCTACAGTGTTCTCACATTCAGCCACGGGGTCACATTGGTTCTCAGTAACTGTAGTGTTGCACTCGTCAATATCTAAATCAGGTCACAGTGAAATAGATAATTAATGTTGCAATCTGTCGTGGGTATGTTTTTTATGTTCTGTGCAAACATGTGCGTCTTTTACAACTCGTCCCACCGAGCACTAATTTAAGAATTTATGCCCAAAAATCAGTAATGACATGTGTCTGTATCTCAAGATTCCTGTACGAGATTACAATGAGGATATGGCAGTAGGGACTAAGCATACAAAAAACTAGTACATTAAATCAGCCACAATACATTTAGCTGAATATGCCAGTATACATGTATATACACATATTCACTAATTTACACACAGACTTACCAAAGCAATGACCCTGGCCTTGGTTGTATCTTACATCCTTTTCAAAACCAATGAAACAGTGACACTCATAAGTACCAACTAAATTGATACATTGAGAGTTCAATGGGCAATTGTGTATGCCTTCCGTGCACTCGTTGCGATCTGGAGATAAATGCATCACGTTTTACCTGGTGGATTTCACGAAATGATTAAATAAGAATCACCTATGTTGTAATTGGTGTTTTGTATATTAATTAATCTCAACTTCTATGTGATTTGGCTTTTATTGATGTTTTGATTTTTCATGCTTTTGAGCCAATTACACTTTTTGAGATTTAGATATTCACCTGTGCAGTCTGCACCGTCTCCAACGAATCCTTCAGCACATCCACAGGTGTATGAGCCTAGCGTATTGTTGCATACCCCACGACTTGAACAGTGATGTATTCCAGTTGCACACTCGTCAATGTCTGGAAAGTAATGACCAAAACATGGACTAAAATAAAGTCATTGCTGGGGACTAATCCTACATGTGTCACTTCTAAATACTTAAAGATTAATCAGAATACACAGAAGTTGTTGAGAAATTATATCACAGAAGATTGATTTAAGTTCAATGTTGACATACCTTTGCAGTCATCACAGTGTCCACTAAATCCCATAGAACATTTGCATTCAAAGCCTCCTGGTCTGTTGATGCATTCAGAATTTCTCACACAGTTGTGTTCACCAGTCTCACACTCATTAATATCTGCAATTCAATAAAGACAATTTTACTTATGTTTAGCCTGGAGTGTCCAGGATTTTCCATCCTAGTTCGACTAGAAATATATATCAAAAATCAAAGGGTGCGACTATACACTGCCTTTCAATATTGTTACATATATAATATTACCTTCGCAGACATATCCATTTTCCTCCACATCCAGGTACCCACTATCGCAGTTACATATGTAACCACCTTCAGTCTCATCACATGTGGCATCAGGAGAGCAATTATCTAGCCCCAAACTGCATTCCTTAATGTCTACATAAAGATATTCAATTTGTGAAATAAATCAGGAATTACTTATTTATGCTTTTAAATGTAGGTTGTACCTTCTGCCTTACATGTTTAACTCGATTCCTTGTTGTCAGTTTTGACTCGAATGGCTTTTATATATATATTACTAAGACTTCAAGATAGTCAACGTTTGTTACCTTGGCAAATCTCGCCAGTTCCTTCAAATCCTTCATTACACTTGCAGTCATAACTTCCTGGTTTATTCTTACACTCCGCATTTATGTCGCAGTTTGGTTCACCATTTGTGCATTCATCAATGTCTAAATAACAGCAACATTTACATTAACAGCAATACCATACATGCAAAGTCTATTTGAAAATACAACTTCCTATATGTCATCTAAAATATGAATTTAGCAAATAAGAAGTTATCTAACCTTCACATTGGACGTCGCCATCTGATGTAACAATGGTGGTAAAGCCCGAAATACATTCACATCTGTATGCACCGGGTTGATTGACACATTTTGTTGGCTCTTTGCAGTCATCAAAGTTTTCTAGGCACTCATCAATATCTATAAAACAAGTCCATGATCTGACTTTGTGGGTTATATCATAGTAATTTATATTACTGAGTATTACTGAGATTTTACTTGATTTTTTGACAACAAAAACAGATATTCAAAGGGATGTACATATGTAAATATACCTATACAAGTGTTGCCTTCCATCTTGTATCCTTCTGTGCATGTGCACACATATGATCCTTCCGTGTTTCCACATGTTTGTAGTTCGCCAGAGCAAAGTACTTCATCCGTGTCACACTCATTTATGTCTTAATATAAATGGAAATAAAAGTATTGATATTAGTAATAAGATAAGAAAACAGATTAAACTCATTGGCTCACATTACTTAAAAATTCTGTTTTTTGGTATTGAAAGTATCATTTTGAAATGACACAAGTTAACCAAAATTCCCTGTACCTGTTGAAGTTAAAAAGTACAGCTGCAATGTGAATTCATTTTTGGCATATTGAACAATACTTGATGACTATCTATAATGGTATATACTTAGAGGTTATGTCACTATGACGTGAAATATGCCTGAGTTCTCCCAATATAGGCCGACCTTGGGAGGCTCTATATTTGGGCAAGAACGAAGGCATATTTCACGTCATAGTGACATAACTGATGTATTACATGCCTTTGTTCCCATGGTTACTTTGTATCAATGACGTGACGTCATGATATTATCATGGTTATTAAAGAAATCTAATATCAAAACGAGGTAAGCGGGCTATATCGGGGTAATCGGGCAATATCGGTGGATATAGCTCGCTAACTTTCCCATTGACTTCCATACAAATGCTTCGCTAGGTATGTAATACAGGTATATAATGATACAATCAGCATTTGTGAAATGGATTAAATTACTTGCAATAAATTCTTGCTTACCTTCACATGTCCCGTTTATGAGTTGGAAACCCTTACTGCATTCACATACATTGTTGCTGTTACAGAATTGACGCTTTTCACATTCGATTATGTTTTCACATACCACAACTCCAGGAGCTGAAAGAAATCAGTTACATTATTTGGCAAATACTCTATGGCAAGATGTGCTTTAATGGAGGTTTTGGATGTTTTAAACCTTTGAGCACAATTGCATAGTTAAATATTCTTGAAGACAGTTGTACTTACGGTGACACGCTACTGTTCCATCAGGCATGTTTTGTAGTTCATCCATTGGGTCAAGACATGTACATGTAAAACCTGGCACAGTGTTCTCACACTTTGTTCCGTAGCCACAATTATCCTCACTTCGCAGACACTCATCGTTATCTAGTCAAGAAGAGAATTGTGTGAGAGGACAGTGTCATTGGGACATATGAAAATTGTCGGAAAGCTTAAGACTGGAACAATCCGACGTTTTGAACTCTCTGATATGGGGCTTTAAATGTCCCATATCATGATTTCCCAACATTTGACAGCTACTGAATCATTCCTATGGGAGATCCTTTAGATAATTATGTGCCCTCTTAACAAGCAAGTTACATATTTTGCAAGTTGTCTGTAGTTCTCTCGGATTCTAGGGTGGCTGAAATCCCATGAGCATCAATATGAATTAAAATCATAATTTTAGACATTCACATTTAGAGAAGATTTATATTCTAAAATTATTTCAATACTAATATTTTAAAAGGACATATATTTATCACACCACAAATATTCATACAAAGATGTATGCAGATTTATTCATTTCTGCAATTTCTTATTAAGATCGAGTACTTAGTACTTGTAGATAAATACATCTTCTACTCTCTAATACCAGATTATAAGACTGATATAATAGTGAAGTTTCAAGATTGTTTCAAACGTTTTGTTGTTGAAGTTCTTTTTTCCATGTTTGCGAACTCAATGAGGAAATTGGCAGGTTGCCATGTCAAACAAGTGTTTACTTATTGAGCTTGTTCAAAACATATAATTGGGATGGGATTTACCCTTTGGAATCTAACTTCAATACGCTTCTTGTGTAGCTAGTACAGCTACACTGTATATAATTGACTTTGCTATTACTCAACCTGAATGCCTGCCTAAACAGTTATTTATGTATATATTTTTCATTGTTTTAATCTAGTTTTAGAATGTTGAGCTTTGCCAGAGACTGTGTTTTACCAACACTGAATGGACCTTACAGTGTATTGATAAACTCAGCTACTTTTCTTTGTAATTGAACAGTTAGTTTGTTTTCTTGTCTTGGTTTTAGATTGACCAGCTTTGCTTGAGACTGTGGGCAACTGTATGGAATGGTCCTAACTTTGTATATACAGACTTTGGATGAGGATAACGTACTGCTAATTTTATTTTGCTCGTGATTTTTGTAAATCAAATGCAATGCACTAGGCGTTTTTTTTTTGTAAAATTGTGTAACTTTGTCTCAGACTGTTGCCAACATTATTGAATGTTTTCATTGTGTAAAAATCGATACAGATAAACTCAACTGCCATCTATTGTTGTTGTAATAGAGCCTTTTATTCTAATCCAGAAATACTTGTTACTTTTTATATAAGCCTATGGGGCTTTGTCTCATAAATATTGGTCATCCATTGTTGATAATCATAACCCTGCAAACCTCATTTTTGCTATTTACACTCTCTTCACCAATATTGGAACTTCTGCATGTTTTCTAAAAATGTTGATGATTTAACACTTGAGTTAATTGTGAAGTAATGTTCTCACTTTTCATTATACTAGTGATAGACAAGTGGTCCATGGATACTATTTCTCAAGTTCAGATATATCCATACCTTTATTTTCAATGATATCATTAAAGAATCTTTGTGCTGGTTCTTGCATTTCCCAAAGTTTGTTTCAACATTTTTGTACATGCAGAGTCCCAAACTTCTAGTACATCCATGTCTCTACTTTTTTTGCATTCACCAAGATGCAAGACAAATCATAATATTAAAGGGGATCTGCTTGTGTGTATAATGCTTCTGCTCTTGGATACTGGATGATTTAAATGTACATGTGTCATGCCCATGGACTGAATTTCCATTCTTTACAATCATAGACAATAGTGACTTTATTGACTCAGTTCCAAATGGTGCCTCACTGATTAATTTTGATAACAAAATTTTTAATCCCCTTGATCTAAAGGGTGACGATTGTGATGATTCAGGCTTTGATCAAACTACCAGTGACTTCATGGCTAAAAGCGAATATGTAACACTTACTAATTTTAACGACAATCTCAATTCTAAGAACAATGTAGATATGTCAATTATTCATTGCAACATACGCAGTTTGCCATCAAATCATTGGAAATTGACAAATCTTTTAGCATCAATTGATAAGAGAATTTCTATTATTGCACTTTCTGAAACTTGGCTATATGAGGATCAAGAGGACTCATTTTCTAACTTCATGAATTATCAGGTTTTTTTCAAATCTCGTACTACCAGGGGAGGGGGGACTGCTCTTTTTATTGATGGTGCACTAAAAACTAAAGAGAGACCAGACCTTAGATTTAACAATAACAACTGTGATGTCTTAACTGTAGAAATTATTGTAGAGGGGGGAAAGAATATTCTAGTAACTAGTATCTACAAGCCTCCTAATGTCAACATTGAAGAATTCATGCAATGACCTCGATATCTATTTGTCCCTCATTTCAAAAGAAAACAACAAAGTACATTATATTGCTGGAGATTTCAACATCGACCTCTTTAAATCTTTTGAACATGACCTTACAGAAAATTTCTATAATACAATGACTGCTTACAATCTCTTACCTGTCATTTATAAAGCTACCAGAGTAACATCCACATCTGCTACCTCAATAGATAATATTTTCACTAATGACCCTAAAATTGACTTGTGTGGAATAATTTATAATGATATTTCAGATCATTTCCCAATTTTTGCTACTTCTAATAAGCCTATCAACAAAACTAAATTTATAAAAAGATCAATAAGAAAATATACAGTAGAAAATATATCAAAGTTCAAAGAACTCCTCTCACATGACACCTGGGATGATATTACTAATGTCAATAATGCAAATGATTCTTATAATAAGTTTGAAGATAAGGTGTCAAATTTCTACAATGAATGTTTCCCTTTAAAACAAGTCACGATCAAATTATATAATAATAATACGAAGCCATGGTTAACATCAGCGATACTTAAATCAATTAGAAATAAAAGCAAACTTTACAAAAAATACCTTCGAAATCCCAACGATCAAAATAAAAAGCAATATAAATCTTTTGCAAATCAGCTAAAAACCACAATAAAATTTTCACAAAAGCAGTATTACAATAACAAATTTGAACATAATCAGGGAAATATAAAAGCAAATTGGCAAATAATTAATCAGATACTCCAGAGGAAAAATAAAAATAATAATATTTCAGATTCTTTTATTCATAATAATGTTGAATTAACTGATAAACAAGAAATAGCTAATCAATTTAATAATTTTTTCGTAAAGGTTGGTGAAAAATTAGCAAGTAAAATACCAAAATCAAACAGAAATTCTTTGGACTTTATGCAATCAATAGGAAGACAAGCTCAAACTCTTTTGTTAGATACCGTTGAAGCAAATGAATTGAATAAAATAATTACCAACTTAAAACCCTCTGCAGCAGGACATGATGATTTTAAAGCTTTTATCATTAAAGATTGTGGATTGTTATTTCACCATCCTCTTTTACATATCTTTAATCTCTCTCTTAAAAGCGGAATTTTCCCGGATCGGCTTAAAATAGCAAAAGTTATTCCTATATACAAAAAAGATGATGCACATTTTTTCACTAATTATCGCCCAATCTCAGTTTTACCCGTGTTCTCCAAGATCCTGGAAAAAATAATGCATCATAGAATTTCTACATTCATAGACTCTATCGATATTTTGTACATTAACCAATTTGGATTTAGGGAAAAAAGATCGACTTCAATGGCTGTTCTAACTTTTATTGAAAAGATTAGAAAAGCAATTGATGATGGCGAATTTACCATTGGATTGTTTCTTGATTTTTCCAAGGCCTTCGATACAATTGATCACAACATCCTATTTAGTAAACTTGAATTTTATGGCATTCGTGGTGTTGCGCTCAATTGGATCAAAAGCTATTTTACACACAGAATTCAGAAAACATTTTACAGCAATACCTTATCTGAGCCTGAATTTATCACGTGCGGAATCCCTCAAGGCTCAATTCTTGGACCACTTTTCTTTATTCTGTACATAAATGACATTTACCTTTCTTCTCCACGATTGTTTTTTGTTTTATTCGCGGATGATACCAATTTATTGATAAAAGGTAAAAATCTAACTGAACTTGCTGATATTCTTAATACTGAACTAAAACTAATAGAGGAGTGGCTTATCACTAATAAATTATCCCTTAATGCGGATAAAACAAAATATATTATTTTCACCTCGAGTCAAAAAAGATATAATGCAAATAACATAAACATCTTTCTTAATAAAAAGAAGCTTCAGCAGGTTGATAACATTAATTTTCTTGGTATTACAATTGATCAAAACTTAAACTGGAAACGTCATATTATGTCCGTAAGTGCTAAAATCTCCAGAACCATTGGTATCCTATATAGGGTCAAACAACTGTTAAATGATAAAGCATTCTTGAGCATCTATTATTCCCTTATTTACTCTTATTTGATATATGGCAATCTTATCTGGGGTGAAGCAGGTAGTGGTTTGTTAAACTCCCTTCATATTTTGCAGAAAAAATTTACACGTATTGCAACAAACAGTAACTACAGAGCACATTCCCTTCCTCTATTCAAACAACTGAACATTTTGAATATATTTGATATTAATAAGCAGTTGAAATGCCTTTTCATGTACAAATGGATTAATAAACTCCATAATTATCATAAAATTTTTCCAAACCTCTTCAGTACCATCCAAGAGAGACATGTTTACAACACCCGAAATAGGGTAAACTATGACAAACCCAAAATTCGAACAAATTATGGAAAAGCTTTGATATCTTTTACTGCACCATCAATCTGGAATTCATTACCTATTGAAATAACATCATCTGGAAGTATTTTTATTATGAAAAAAGAATTGAAAAAATATTTTATCAATCAATAATATCAATTTCAGTTAACCATTGTGGGCATTATATGACACATTCTTAGTCAGACATAGATAGTAGCATTCATCACACAAGCAGATCCCCAATCTGTACATTTCATGTTTGTTTATAAACACGGGAATATACACGAGAAGTGTCACCCGTTTACTGTATATGTGTTGTTGAAATATGTATGAATAAATAAATAAATAAATAAAAAATCAAAAAAAAATCACGACCTACCTTCTAACAGACTCATTCTAGAAGACTATGAGATCGATTTGTCTCCACCGATCAGATCGCTTTAAGGGGACCCTAATTATCAAGATAATTTTTCTCTGCCCATTTGGGGTTATAAGACTAGAGGAGATGATACTGTTTGAGTTTACAGATGTTATAATATTACATCCATATGCAAGGTCGTACTTACCTTCACATTCATTATCTGCTGTCTTTGTGTATCCCTCCTTGCAAAGGCATATATATGAACCATCAAGATCCTCACAGTACTGCAATTCCGAACATTCGTGCAATTGTTCTACACATTCGTCCACCTCTACAAAGTACAATTAATACTATTCCTGATTGATTGACGATAATCTCTTCGGTATAACTTACTTTTTTCGAAAATTTAATGCAGCACATCAATCCCCTTATTGACATCACATTCATTTAGCTCTTTCGACGTTTTTGCGTTTTTCTAGTGAGGAACTATTCTGTCTGTGAATAAAGTTTGTATTTGTTTATTGTAAGACTCCAACTTTGTAAAAGAATTACTGATGTGCTATAACTTGGAATACCTTAACAGCCGTAACCAAAGCCGCCTGTGGTATTACATTCAATTCCCAATTGTATAATCGAGAGTGTACGTATTATATATCTTCCGAATATTATCTGCGTTACTTGCGAAATTCATTGATTCATGCACAAATCAAAGAAGAACTATGCGCACATTTACTTACGTTTATGCGCACATTTACTTACGTTTATGCGCACATTTACTTACGTTGACAGGTTTGTCCATCGCCGAAGAATCCATCAACACATGTACATTTACCGTCCACACATTCAGCGTCTACTGAACATTGTATGTCGCCACATATTGGTGGATCATAGTCGTTAAGTGGATCTTTATGCAAAATAATGTGTAAAGTTAGTCCTCCCATTCCATTGTCACAATAGTCATTGCTACCACCATATACCAGTTTTACAATAACTTAATTGTCTCCTTTACCATTGTCACGCTATCGTTTTAAGAAAGTTCTAGTTTGGGTAATGTTTTGCTTTCCAAAGATTTCCTATTTTTAACTTTTCTCCTCAGAAAAATATGTGAATAGTTTTGAGTTGGAATGATAATATCAAGAAATAAACTGCATCAATTGTGGTATATGAACAACCATATTATATCCGTGTGTTTGAGTTCAAGACTGTAAAATATGTACAGGACAGGATGACCAAGAAAAAAACAAATGTTGGGAAACACAGCGAGAAAACAGAATACTGAAAAGCCAATCCGGTTACAAAACACAAACCACAACATTCAAATCACGAAAATCATTGCCAAAAGGCCCCTCTTCTTCATTTCCCAAGTCAAATATTCATTATCCTATCCAAGGTCACAAAAACCCATGACATTTCTATTATACTACTTACCTCTTCCAGTCACGCATCTTCTATCCCGTCTCATTCTATACGTTGATGTACAACCACATTGGAATGAGCCTACGGTGTTATTGCACACTCCTCGTGAAGACTTGTCACAGTTATCTATATCAAGTACACACTCATCCACATCCAAGCAGTTGGAATTATTCTGCATAAATCCATCAGCGCACCCACCTTAAAAGACACGCACATACATGTAAGTTCCATTTTGATCATGCTTACCTAAATATTGTGATATTTTTTCTCTTTTGCTTATAGATATTAGCCAAAGAGTCAGCCAGTTAAAGAATTCAACATTGTAGATACTAAGACGAGAGCTAACTTACATAAGAAGCTGCCCACACTATTTTCACATGTTGCTCCAACCATATCACTACACCAAGCAGTACCAGTTTCTTTTGAACACTCATCAACATCTACAAATTGGTACTAGATAGTTAATTTTTTTTATATATATAGTATTTATTGCATGAATAATATAGTATAAGTAACAACGTTTAATAATGTCAATCGCCCTGAGGCATTACAGACATATTCACAAATAGATAAAATACATACAGGCAATAACTTGATTGGAAAATAAATGTAAAAAGAATTAAAGTTAATGATGGTGTATAGTCTGTTAAGTCCGCCTCATATGTTCAGGATGAAATCAGTTATGATTTAAAATGTCAGGGTCAAGAGATCACACATGTTTGGAGTATGGCTTGTGCATTATTATCGTTGTATGAAGTATGACTTTTGCACTAGTATGACTTCTGTATTATTATCGTTGTTGTGTAATCTGACTTTTGCATATTTAGTATGATTTGTTTATTATTATGGCTGTTGTGAAGTATGACTTTTTCATAAGTATGACGTGTGCATTACCCGGGGTGCATTATCATCGTTGCTGTTTAGTATGGTTTGTGTATTAGTATAGTATTATTTGTGCATTATTACCGTTGCTGTCTACTCGTGTCTGTTCATTATAATGGCTTGTGCATTATCATTGTTGCACGTTAATACTTTTACTAGTATCATCGTTGTGTAGTATTACATGTGCATCATCGTTGTTGTGCAATATGGTTTGTGTATTAGTATTGGTTGTGCAATATTATTGTTGTTGTGTGACTTAAGTATTACTTATACATTATTAGACTCCAGATGAAAATCTGGAGTCTATTGCTTTTGCCAGTTTTCTTATTATTAGACTCCAGATGTCAATCTGGAGTCTATTGTTTTTGCCAGTATTCTTATTCTTCTTCTTATTATTATTCTTATTTTTCTTTTTGAGTTTTCTCAATAACTATAAGGTATCCGGTAAAGACCATAATACAGTATGTTTAGGTTCAGTATCTAGTTGGTGGGAAATTGGGTCAAATTTTTATCTAGGTCAAAGGTCAAGAACTAGGTCAAATCCAGTACTTTGTCACTTTTTTTGATTTTCTCGGTCGTCCTTCAATATTTTCGATCCAGGTTTTTTTCATTGTGTTCCTTATAAAAAAGTAGGAAACCTAGGGTCGATTTAGTTTTTTGATATCTCAAACCGATTTCGAGATATCAGTGTCCGAAAACGAGGTCCAAAAAAAAGTTCTCCGAATCAAATGTCCAGGATATAAGTCTTATAGAAAATTTTCTCAGGATTCCGAATCTGAAAACGAAATTTAGATCAGACTTCCGGTTCTGAAGTTATGGCGTTTTGAAAGCTCAAAAATCGCTAAATTTTGAGCCCATGTTAAGTCAATGGGAAAAAAGATTTTTCTGAAGTGAAAAATACGAAATATAGACTAAGTTCAGCTAAATATAATGAAAGCTTTTAAAAGAATGGGACCTCAAAAGCCATCTAGCCTTAAAATTTGGACACCAAAATGCCTAGGTCAAAATCTAGGTCAAATTCAAAGTTTTTTCTTATTTTTGCGATTCTGACACTACACTTTAATTATATTCTTCGAAATTGTGTATACATGTAGCCAAGAGTGTGCTAATAGCGTTAGCCTTTTGCCGTCAGAAAGAATTTTGACCCGCTTTTGAGATATGGTGTCCGAAAAGTAGGTCAAAATAAAAAGTTCTCCAAATTTAACGTTTGAGTTATGAATTAAGAATAGAATTTTCTCAGAAATCCGAATCTGCAAACCAAATTTCGATCCGACTTCTGGTTCCGAAGTTATGGTGTGTCCAAAAAGTAGGTCAAAATAAAAATTCGCCAAATTTAATGTATGAGTTATGCATTAGGGGTAGAATTTTGTCAGGAATCCGAATCTTTAAATCAAATTTAGATCCGACTTCCGGTTCGGAAGTTATGGCGTTTTGAAATTTCGGAAAATCGATCTGATGGTATCCTGATAGAAAGTCAAGAGTAGAGAAGAAAATATTGAAAAATTCATCCATCCTTCCTATCCTATCCTATCCTTCCTTCGTATCCTTTCCTTCCTATCCTCACCTATCATATCCTTTCTTCCTATTCTGTTCTATCCTATCCTTCTTTCTTATTCTATCCTATCGTTCCTTCCCATTCTATCCTATCCTACCTTCCTGTTTTTATCCATCCATCTTATTCTGGATGACTCAGCTTATTCTGGATGACTCGGCTTATTTTAGATGACTGGGCTTAAAAAAGTCTGGATCTGGAGTCTGAAATTGAACTTCGTTCAATTTCCCAAGTCTAGTTATTATTTTTCTTTAAGAGTTTTTTCAATAACTATAAGGTATCCAGTAAAGACCATTATACAGTTCATTTAGGTTCAGTATCTAGTTCCTCGGAAATTGGGTCAAATTTTTATCTAGGTCAAAGGTCAAGAACTAGGTCAAATCCAGTACTTTGTCACTTTTTTCGATTTTCTCTGTTGTCCTTCAATATTTTCGATCCGGGGTTTTTTCATTGTGTTCCTTATAAAAAAGTAGGAAACCTAGAGTCGATTTAGTTTTTTGATATCTCAAACCGATTTCGAGATATCAGTGTCCGAAAACGAGGTCCAAAAAAAAGTTCTCCGAATCAAATGTCCAGGATATTAGTCTTATAGGAAATTTTCTCAGGATTCCGAATCTGAAAACCAAATTCGAATCAGACTTCCGGTTCGGAAGTTATGGCGTTTTGAAAACTCAAAAATCGCTAAATTTGGTGCCCATGTTAAGTCAATAGGAAAAAAGATTTTTTTGAAGTGAAAAATACAGAATATAGACTGAGTTCAGCTTCATATAATCAAAGCCTTTAAAGGAAGGGGACCTCAAAAGCCATCTAGCTTGAAAATTTGGACACCAAAATGCCTAGGTCAAAATCTAGGTCAAATTCATGGGTTTTCCTTATTTTTTCGATTCTGACACTACACTTTAATTATATTCTTCGAAATTATGTATACATGTAGCCAAGAATATGCTAATAGTGTTAGCCTTTTGCCGTCAGAAAGTATTTTGACCCACTTTTGAGATATGGTGTCCGTAAAGTAGGTCAAAATAAAAAGTTCTCCAAATTTAATATATGAGTTATGAATTAAGGGAAGAATTTTGTCCGGAATCCGAATATACAAACCAAATTTCGATCTGACTTCCGGTTTGGAAGTTATGGCGTGTCCGAAAAGTAGGTCACAATAAAAAATCTCCAAATTTAACGTATGAGTTATGAATTAGGGGTAGAATTTTGTCAGGAATCTGAATCTGCAAATCAAATTTCGATCCGACTTCCGGTTCGGAAGTTATGGCGTTTTGAAATTTCGAGAAAAATCGATCTGATGGTATCCTGATAGAAAGTCAAGAGTAGAGAAGAAAATATTGAAAAATTCATCCATCCTTCCTATCTGATCCGTTCCTATCCTTCCTATCTATCCTTCCTTCGTATCTTTTCCTTCCTATACTTCCTATCCTATCATATCCTTTCTTTCTATTCTATTCTATTCTATCCTATTCTTCTTTCTTATTCTATCCTATCGTTCTTTCCTATTCTATCCTATCCTACCTTCCTTTTTTATTTATCCATCTTTTTCTGGATGACTCAGCTTATTCTGGATGACTCGGCTTATTCTGGATGACTCGGCTAAAAAAAGTCTAGATCTGGAGTCTGAAATTGAACTTCGTTCAATTTCCAAAATCTAGTTATTCTTTCTTTCCGAACACTTTTTCTCAGCAACTAGAAGGACTTACTTAAATCTGCTAACATAGTCAACTAGGTAATTAATGGAACCTTGTTTCTGGGAAATTAGGTCAAATGTTTATCTAGGTCAAAGGTTAAGAACTAGGTCAAATCGTAGGTTTTTACTATTTTACAAGTTTTCTCAGTCGTCCTTCAGTATTTTTGCTCCGGTTTTTTTTCATCATGTTCCTTAGAAAAAAAGCTAATTCCGAAAGGCAAATCGTTTTTTTATTACTCTTACCGATTTTGAGAAATGACGTCCGAAAAGTAGGTCAGAACATAAAAAGTTCTCCAAATTCAACGTGTAAATTAATAAATAAGTGTAGAATTATCTCAGGAATCCGAATCTGCAAACAAAATTTTGATCCGACTTCCGGTTCGGAAGTTATAGCGTTTTGAAATCTCAAAATCGCTAAATTTGGTGCCCCATGTTAAATAAATGGGGAAAAAGACTTTTTCGAAGTGTAAAATACGAGATATAGACTGAGTACAGCTTAACATAATGAAAGCCTATAAAAGAAGGGGACCTCGAAGGCTATCAAGCTTTAAAATTTGGACAGCAAAATGCCTAGGTCAAAATCTAGGTCAAATTTATAGTATTTTCTTATTTTTGCGATTCTGACACTACACTTTAATAATTTGCTTCAAAATTTTGTATACAGGTAGCCAAGAGTGTGCTAATAGTGCTAGCTTTTTGCCGTCAGAAAGTATTTCTACCCACTTTTGAGATATGGTGTCCGAAAAGTAGGTCAAAATGAAAAGTTCTCCAAATTTAACATATGAGCTATGAAATAAGAGTAGAATTGTTTCAGGAATCCGAATCTGCAAATCAAATTTCGATCCGACTTCCGGTTCAAAAGTTATGGCGTGTCCAAAAAGTAGGTCAAAATAAAAATTCGCCAAATTTAATGTATGAGTTATGAATTAGGGGCAGAATTTTGTTAGGAATCCGAATCTTTAAATGAAATTTCGATCCTACTTCCGGTTCGGAAGTTATGGCGTTTTGAAATTTCGGAAAATCGATCTGATGGTATCCTGATAGAAAGTTAAAGAAAAAAGATTTTTTTGAAGTGTAAAATACGAGACATAGATTGAGTACAGCTTAAGATAATGAATTCCTATAAAAGAAGGGGACCTCAAAAGCTACCTAGTTTCAATATTTGGACACCAAAATGCCTAGGTCAAAATCTAGGTCAAATTCATAGTTTTTCCTTATTTTTGCGATTCTGGCACTACACTTTTAGGATTTGCTTCAAAATTTTGTATACAGGTAGCCAAAAGTGTGCTAATAGTGAGAGCCTTTTGCCGTCA